AGATACTGTACTGTACAATCACACAGTAATAATTTATAATTCAACTACCCACTGGTTTCGGCTCGCACGTGCGTAATGCACGTGATCTGCGCTCACGCACCTGGTAGTGGTACATAACGGCCTTGTTTTTCTGTGTTTATTTACGTTCAATTAAAACAAATGTCAGATTATATGGCTTTTGTATTATCTTGTGATAGTAATCTATTTTATGGAATATAATCCATAAAGGCAGAGTAGATGCGCCCAACATTAGGTAAATTCGATTTTATTTAAACAATAAAATCATTGCATGGTTAATAATAATGTACACCGTTTTGGGTTTGAGACATCTATCTACATCTATGGTAGAATTAAAATCTTAAATTTATTTTACTATAAATATACATATTTGTGAAAAGTCAATCTTAACCTTAGTAAGGTGCCATCTATTGTGTCCAATTGTAAAATGTACCATCATGTACAAAATTTAGTTTCATTATTTTTCGCCACCTTGTTGTGGCGAAAACTATAAATAGTTTCATTGATATTAAGTTTAAACACCATCTAGTTATGTGAAGCTAAGTAAAATTACAATAATTGTTATCGGCGCCATCTAACAAGTAATTATCGAACTAATAATAATAATACGTATTTCAATCATCTTGTTATTCAGTTAAATTTTAAAACGTAGCCAGCAGGTGGCTCTCTTAACACCAACAGTAGAAGTAGTATAAGGCTATACATTACATTTCTATATTGTTATACGGCTTTAAAAGTTGGAATTTACAAAGATATTTCAGAAGTTTAAAAATTACAGGAAATTTTATTTATTTATAAAAGCTTGCCAACGCTCGGCACTCTGATACATTGATAAAATAAAAACAAAATACAATTTTTAATATGACAAGCACTTATAGGCAAACATAGCATAATATAAGAAATGATGAAAAGAAATTAAGCAAAACAATAATATAATTTATACAAACATTAAACGAAAATCGCTCTTAAAGTGTGAGGGGAGCAACTATGGATATCCAGACCCAGCTCGTTTAACAGAATGCTCAATCTAGACATCGCTGAATGTTGGCCAAAACGCGTTCTCCGGAAAGGAGGGAACTAATGGAATGATGGGATGTCTGGGATATCTACTGGGTACACGAAATTTAAATTTTGTTAAAAGGTTGGGGCAATCTACCTGATTGTTAGGTATCTTAATGGCAAACGATACATCGATTAATTTTCTGCGATTCTCCAGTGACAACATTTCACGACTCATTGGTCTAGTGGTTAGTACCCCTGACTGCGAATCCATGGGTCCCGGGTCCTCATCCGGGGGCTGAGACGAACATCGATGTGATGAGCATTTGGTGTTGTGCTTAGGTCTTGGGTGTTTAAATATGTATTTGTACGTCTATCTATCTATAATATGTATGTATATCCGTTGCCTAGTACCCATAACACAAGCTTCACCAGTTTAGCATGGGACTAGGTCAATTGGTGTGAATTGTCTTTAAAAAAAAAAAAAAACATCTTAAAGTGCGCTAGCCTGGTTTCGTATGTTGGCAACTTTTTTTCGAGATGCCATAGTAATCTTTTTTGTAAACGCTCCAGTCATAACATATGAGTCGCATAATGCGGCCTCCATACGAGTATACCATAATCTAATATGCTCCGCACGAGACTGTAGTATAGCATAATTTTTGTTTTTTCGGATCTTAGAGACTTTCTTTATTGTAATGTCCTGGTGTTCTGTAAACGTTAGTTTATTGTCGAAAAGAACCCCCAAATCACGAATAACTCTTTCTTCCTTAACTATTATGCTGCCTATTTGATAGTTATAATGTCCCTTTTCCTAGAGAAACGAACGAAATGACATTTTTGGACATTCAGCTACCTTTGGAAAAACACCATGAAGTCATATCATTCAGATCTGATTGGAGCAACAAGCAATCCTCGAAGTTACTAATTACACGACAAAACTTGAGATCATCTGCATACATTATTTAACAATGGCATGATGACAAATTTACTTATGATTCTTTATTATAAACTTTGACAAAAGCAAAACAGCGCACCATCTCCATCATTATATATTTCCCAAAACTTAATAATATAATAAAATTGTATTCTAATACATTTAATATGAATTTTTCATCTTAGTGCAACTGACACCAGTATTTTTAAAGTATCTTCTCTCAAATTCTTATCTATCAGCAATACCATCCCTTCAAAACTATCTAGTGGTACCTATACTTAAAGGAGGTTATTTTTGTTATGTACAAATTTCTTTGAAACCTATTGAGAAGAAGAACAAGGGCCTATGTTGCATAAATTTATAGGTGTGATCTAGAGAAAGCCGTGACAGGAAATAAATGCATTTTTCGTTAAGATAGACTCTATTACGCTACTTAGGGTTAACGAAGTTTATTCTCATTAAAACATACATGTCATTTACACTAGAAAAAATATAAATATTTAAAATATAAAAAGTCAAATAAACACGCCACTGTTGTACGCTGTTACTGCATCAAAGTAAACCAAAAAGTAAAAACCTTCGCAGACTTATTCGAAACGTCATGAGACAAGCTGTTGTAGACTCGCTCCAAAATCCTACTAATATTATAAACGCGAAAGTTTGTACGTACGGATGTATGTTTGTTACTCTTTCACGTAAAAACTACTAATTATATATTATATAACTATAATATTACAATAATATAGCTTATACGTCAAAATAGCACATAGGTGTGAATGGTCCAAAATATAAAGTAAGTAGGTACTAAAAATCTACCATCTGCGAGCTATTACTTAGAGCTATATAATGTATGATGGAAATGTATATCTTAAATAGTCCTACAATCTTATGTGTAAGCCATTATAGCCAAAATAGTGAACCACAATAAAAATTGATAATTTATTTCAAATGCACATTTGGTAGTAATAAATTGATTCCTAAATGAAAATAGATACTTTTATCGCTCCTCGTATTTAAAGAATATAAAATATGTCTTATAAAATATGTCACACCACATCATTTGGTGAAAATATTGTTTTAATCCTGCGCAGACGATGTCGCGGGCACCAGCTGGTAAGTTTTATTTTTACGACCGTACACAGTTCCGATTTTAGGTAAGTATGTGATGTGTAATGTTGGTTACGTGTAGGAATGAAGTTAAATTTAATACTTTGTGTATTTGGCAATTTAATATAAAAACTACACTAAAATGCATGTTGTGAATTATTTGCAATTGCTTAGTGTTCATTAATTTAGTGTCAATGTAAAGTTTGTTAGTGGGAGTAAGAGTAGGATAAAATAAAGAGGTTTTAATTTAATTTATTTTGTAGAACCTCAAGTTTACTAGTTGAAGCGCTACACCATACTTCTATTAAATATAATAAATGTGATTTAGTTAGTTACTTACTTAGTTACTTATGTTTAGAATTTGTGTTATACCGTTTAGAAAGCTAATAACTATATACCTAGTGGTTTGAATACAAAATGAACGTTGTTTGATACACGGAAGCAGTGCTTTGGAATTCCAATGAAGAGTTATATTTAACGAATTATTTCTGTATTAATTAATTTACAAAATTATTACCATGTATCTACGTATATACGTACATTACAAACCTACTAATATAAATTAAGTCATCCAATATATAACTGCGAATTCCTGAATAATAAAATCTAAATTATCAATATATTAAATAGATCACCACTCAAAAGATTAAAGGAATCGATTGTAACACTATACTTTTTACCTGTTGATTTGTTTTGTAAATCTTTATTTATAATTATCTTTATTTGTAAATCAATAATCGTTTTACCTGCCTTTGCGGAATATGATTTGGTTCCATTTTCCTATGGTCAGCTGGTTTCACATTGTGGACTGTTCACAAATGCTTTACGAATCGATTGATGGTTGTGCAACAGTCATGAATGTCTGTATATTTATTAATTATCTCGCAGTCAGTTAAACTGAAAATACTAATTAAACTGTGCAAGTGGCGGCCTGCCACTAAGTGGTGTCTTTCACGCAACCCTATAAAAGTATTTTACATTAAGATAAAATTGTTTTTATTTTATATTTTTATATATATTAGGTTTCTTTAAAAATGCATGTAGAATATATTTAATACTTTAAATTTGCACGACACGTCAATGACTATTGACTTCTATTACACAACGTATTAATTATAACTAATTTCTAAATGTAGTTACATGCATTATTTATAAGAAAACATACTCATGCGAAACCGATTCACGATTTAATAATCATGGTAAAATACACAATAAGTTGTGTAATATGTATCTCGAACTAAAACACTTGAAAAACATTTCAATTAGATCAACGATCGTTATTTGTGAAATCGCTGTTACTAATAATGACATGTCTAAACTAAAATCTCAAACAAGATTGGGCAATGAGTACTCGATCCTCATTAGCCGAGGTTCCGGCTTCTGCATATTGTGAAATTGATAGATTTACAGTCTCAGAATTATGTCGATAATTTCTATTTTATGTAATTGTAACGGCGTTTATCGCATAGAGCACCGAACTGTTAGCGTAATTCTCTGTCTTACTGTAATCAGACATAATATGAAAATACACTGTAACTGTATTGCATAATGCATATACTTTTTAACCGATGGATTTTTTAAATAATGAGTCAATGTACAAATTATTTAACAATTTAATAACATATCACAAATTCACTGGGAGTCAACCCATAATAATACTCAAATTCACATAACATTCGGGACAAGTGAAAGGAACACACAATTATCCAACACACATCAAGTATTGATTGGCTTAGCATACATTAAAATACCAAATTACTGTCATGTGCGCTCTGCACTATAAATTTCTAATAAAATCAACATTTTTGATCAGGTCCGTTACACACGAAGATCACATATTTTAGCTTTTACACAGACTTATCTTAGTAATACCAACAGGCAAGACATTACATAATTAGATTAATTAAATCACTGTGTGCTCGGAGTAATATCTATATTATTATTGATAGTGACCGTATCCGTTGTTCTCTTCACTGCCTCCCGAGACCTGTATATGACCTCCATATTGTCCCAACTCAGGTTGAGCTTCAGCATAAGCTTTTAGACCTTCGCTGCTCTCGTAACCTCCTGCGAACTGTTCATAGCCTCCATGTTGTAGCCCTTGGGAAAGAGATCCATGGTCGAGACCTCCATGCTCGAAACCTCCATGCTGGATACCTCCATGCTCTAGACCAGCAGAGTAGTCTCCATGTCCAAGGTTAGCGGAGAGGTGGTCAGTATTCAGTCTGTGGTCTTCCAGAACTAGCCCGTAACCATGAGCTTGTTGGGTTTCAGGGTGAATCTGTTTTAAGTTTGACTCGCTTTGGCCCTTCTCGAGAGGGTGGTGCAGAAGATGGCTGTGCTCCTTCTTGATGTACACGGGGACGGGATGGAAATGTTCAAATTTGATAGACTGGTGCGACTTGGCGTGTTCGTGTTGGATCTGGTGATGGTGTCCCGTTTCGCCGATTAATGCATGGTGATCGAGCTGCGGGGCCTCCTCGTGAATGAGGCCAGGGTAAGCGGCCGCTACCGCGAATAATCCCAGGAAGATCTAAAACAAACAAGAGATATAAACTTTCAAACACGTTATGTTTGTTTATAAGTTATGCAAAGTTGTATTTATGTTACGAAACGTAGTGACATAGCTTTGAGAAGTAACGGAAGTTCGTCGATCGGATTAAGCGAATGTTGATCGAGAACCTAGAAAACAAGTTTCACAAAGATAGCGTGAGGAACCCTGACAGTGTCTTAAGTAACGAGAAAGGCTTCCTAGTTCTAGGCAATAGTTGTGGTTCCAGGAAGAAAAAAGCCGCTTCACCGAACACATGTATAATGAATCACTGCAATTAATAGCTTTTGCATAAACACTACGATGTATTAATAAGCACTATTTAACACGATCACGATTAGATACGCACATGGTACTTCATATTGGTGAGGCTGTGCGGTCGTCACTGGAGGGTGGAGGGTAATGCCGGCAATTGCTATTTGCATTGCTTTTATACTCGTTTCACTGTGACGGCGTGTGAGTGCTCTGCTTTGCTGTTACGTGTGCGGTTAGTACATTGGCACACTGATCGCGTCTTGGGAACAATAGATACAAGCTAATAGACAAATACGATCAAAATTTCAAGCCAATTTCGAGCAGTATTTTACTTTCCCCTGTCAACATTTTTACGTACTGTCTTATCTCACTTCTATCATCTACATACGATTGCATATGTGTGCATAAATAAAACTTATATACTGTTACAATGTATTGTTATGAAGTTTTTTTCATTTTAATGTCGCTTGTGAAATAATCTGTGTGAGAATCTGATACACATCACGTCTCGCACACTTAATTTTCTTTCGATGTTATTAGTGTGTAATGGGAAAACGAGATGTATTTGCCAATACAAATTTATTCAAGTTAATAATTTAATTATTTTTATAACATTCAATATTCAACAGTATTATTAATATATTCTGATGATTTCTATACGGAAGATTATCGGCCTACTTTAGTGCTGATTTCGTAAAAAGTGCACACAAGTGACTATTTCATTATGCTATAATAAAATCACTTAGTTATAATGGTGCGTAACTCGAAATGACTGTGTGTTATCATTTAGGGCAAGCTAATAGTCACCGAAATTTGAATCTATAGAAATATATGAATTATCTTTTAAATAACTTGTAATGGAGTAGACACATTTTTCTTTGTGTCGTCATATTAGTTCGTCATATTTCTTTACAGGATAGAAACGTAAATTACATTCTCGAAATATGTAAATAGTGAATAATCGAGTTTGATTAGAGAAGGTTTATTTAAATGTCGAGCTCGATAAACCAGACATTAGATTTGATTTGCCCAAAATAAAGCATAATTATTACTCCAAAATCGACTTCAGAACCCTGCTTAACAGCGGCTACGACTGTTGCTATGTTATCTATAAAGATATCTTCTATCTATACTTACCTAATATGTAAAAAAAAGAAGTAAATCACACTTAAAAAAAACAAAAGCAAAGAAGAAAAGAGCTGAATTTTTTTAATATTCATTTTCTGTCTCGCCGGTATAAACGCTAATCTATAGAACAAACCGATTTGCACTAATTCAATAGAGCTTAGTATGGAGCATTTAGGCATTTTATTAAAAAATTATGTCAAGAAAAAGTTATCGACATTTGAATGTATAATTCATAATGTCAAAAACTCTTAATTATTCTCTTCATATATATTGCCCAAAAAAAAGGTGGATAGAAGAAATAGAAGCGGTAGCAGGAAACGAATGGAAAAAGAGAGCTATAGACAGAGTCAGTTGGAAAAAGCTGGAGGAGGCCTTTACCCGTGAAGGGGTTCCGATCGACGGTACTGAAGGAAGCTAGAATATAGAATAGCATAAGAAAAAAAAAATGTAAAATAATCTAAGCTGTGTTATTATATAACTTGTTTTTTTGTCATGATTGGAAATAAAACGGGCTTTATTATTATTATTATATATTACTCGATTTTGAAAAGTGTGAAATCTAGTCCGCGAAGTTTAATATTACCGCATAAAGTAAAATATAGAGTTACAATTCCTCAATCGGTATATTCATGTCTCGTTACGCAACTCTTAAGGAGGTCATTTTTGTATTTTTACTTTATTTTTTTAATAAGTGTATTGTGAACTGTAATTAACGCATAAAACGATGTAAAGTAGGCTGAGATAATTAGATTTATTGTATCGCCTAAGTGAAAGTAGTCAGAACGGCGGCGTATACTAATACAAATATATTTAAATAGACATCGAATTTAATATTTATAGTTCTCAGTAGCTCCACAATGAGATAAGAAGAAACAAAGTATTCATATATATAAAATGGTATAGGCATAGTAAAATGACTTTCTCATGGGTGTACCCATTGATTATTGTCGCACAATGTCTTGTAATTGCAAAAAATCAGAATTGTTTTGTATTTCTTTATGTAACTGCATCAATACCACAAATGTCAAAATAAAAATGACATTTTTTACCACTTCGTAGATTACTTTCCCGCGCGTCTTGAACTCGCTAAGGTTATTATTAATAGCGCGTTATTCAAAATTTATAACATAACAAAAATTTATTCTAAATTTATCACCGTGCAAGTCATCTACGCCACTTGTAATATGCCTGCAACGTGCACCTTATAAGATCGTTTGTCGTTTTTAAAAGCGGATTTTTGTAACGGTCTGGCCTCTGATGGAGCTGGGGGTGGCTAAGCTTATAAAAAAAACATAGTATTCTGTTTTATCTATGAAAATACGTCATACGATTGCTTTTTTAAAACATGAATATTCTAAGCGGTATTGGAGCGAACAGTGTTGATTAGCGTTTTCTTAGCTTACGGTTTCGATGTCTGAATGACTTACAATGTACTTAAGAGTAAGATAAAGACGAGTATGAGCCAAATTATAATTTTTTTCAATTTTTGCCTGTGAAATGATCAAAAATCATAATTATGAATTACTACGTGAAAACTAAAAGGGAGAGGGGGGTCTTGGCATATACTACGAGTGGTCACCAAGGGGAGGGAGGGGTCGAAAAAGTAAAAAAAATAGGTCACGTATTATGGGTACGTTACCTTAGAACGAATTAATACAACTATAAATTATTATAGAACTCAATCATTCCCTTTACGCATAAGAGATAAGGGGGTAAAAAAAATGGACCGGCAAGATCCACATTATTATTCCTTGACCTTTTCTTAACTCAAATCCGTTGGCGAAATTCGTCACTCACATTTTGTATATTCAAGTACAGCAGCTCGTTGAGTCAGGAATGGTTACAAATACACGAACAAATAATTTCTTCGTGATCAGGCGGACAAGGGACAGCAACAAAAACATACTGAAGGGAATTGTTAAGGCTAGCCATACTCTAAAATAGATACGGTAACTAAGTGAAATCTTTAGTAGGCAAAGTTAAAGCAAGTATCGCATTGAAATAAATGTATAATCAAATGAACCTACATCTAATAAGTTTTACTCAAGTATATGTTTATTTTATTTTGATTTATTACGTGGAAAAAAATGATTTTTTATGCTGTCATATCTGCAAGTTAAAATACGACCTAGAATGTGCTAATGTCTCCCGCAAGCGCTTTGTTGAGATGGTCGCAAGACAAAAGGCGTCATTTAGATGTCCCGAATGCTCTAGGAAACCGACTAATGTTAGCAATGCAAAGACGTCATTGCTGACTTGTGAAAATTCCGATGGAAGCCCCCATAGTATGAGCTCACAAGAAGCAAGTCCGGAGAGTGAACCTCCGTGCTCTAAAGTAACGCAGCGAATAAAGCCATCACATGGACCCCCTTCACAACTACCAGAACTAGAACCATATGTCACTGAAGATAAATTGCGAGATATCTTACAACAGGAGTTATCTTCAGTCCTCACTGTGACAATAAAGCGATTGGTGACATCGGAACTTAATAATCTCACTGAAAGGGTTGTTGGGTTCCAGGACACAATCTGCTTCCTGAGTCGACAATTTGAGGATATAAAGTCTTCTCTTGAGGAGAAGGACATCGCAATAGTGAATCTAAAAAAAGATAATGAGAGGTTAAAGTCTAATGTGGCTGACCTAACGAACCGGCTAACTTCTGTTGAACTACATGCCCGGGAGAATAATATATTGATTAATGGGATCCCTGAGAATAGGTCAGAAAATTTATTTGAAACTGTCCTTCGTATAGCCAAGACTGTGGACTGTCCCCTCACCAAGTTGATATTCAGCACGTAACAAGGGTTGCTAAAATAACTAATAGCAGTGATAGGCCTCGGTCCGTGGTAGCCAAGTTATGTAGCCCGCGTACACGTGACTTTGTTCTGGCTGCTGTGAGCAAATTTAATAGGAAGAATCCACAAGAGAAATTAAACTCTCATCATCTTGGTATCGAAGGAACTAAGAAACCTATTTATGTATCTGAACATCTTACATCAGTTAACAATGCTCTTTACGCGGCCACACGCTTGAAAGCAAAAGAGAAGCAGTATAAATTTGTATGGGTTCGCAACGGACGCGTTTTTACAAGAAAGAACGAAAACTGCCAAGCCTTGCTTATTAAGAATAACGAAACCTTAAATCTTTTAACATAGTATAGTATATTAGTTGTAAGCTTTTTGTTGTATCTTTAGTCTAGTAACACACTGATTTTTTTTACGATGCTTGAAATTTATTATCAAAACGTACAGGGGTTGAGAACTAAAACGGCATGCTTTCTCAAATATTTGTCAACTTCTAATTACAAGATCATCGCTCTAACTGAAACTTGGCTGAAATCTGGTATTTCAAACATGGAATTATTTGACAATAGATACACTGTTTATCGTAGAGATCGTTCAAGTTCTACCAATACCAAATCGGATGGTGGAGGTGTCATACTGGGAGTCTCCAAAGAAATTTCTTCTTTCAGAGTTGAGGCATGGGAATCGGATGTGGAGGACTTATGGGTCACCTTACATATACATTAATAAAATAATAAAGAAACTTTCGATATGTGATGTATACCTGCCTCCTCCTGTTAAGATTGGGACTTTGACACATTTTTTAGACAGCGTCGACAGAGCTTTAATCTTAAGTGATGATGTCAATCTAGGGTTCATTAATTGGAGATCGCTAAATAATGAAGTTTTAATAACACCTTGTAATTATAACAATACACTTGGCTTTGCCTTTATTGATTTTATGTCTATGAATAGCCCAAATCAATGTTATAGTATAGGTAATAGTGATGATCGTTTCTTGTATTTAGTATTAAGTAATATGTCTAGTATTAATGTATCAGCCCCCTCCGACTCGTTCAGTAAAATATACGCGAATCATCCTAGTTTATTGTTAAGTATTAAATATTCTAAAATATCTTTTTTTGCGAACGAGAGGTAATACTTAACTAAGTTTTTAAAAAGCTGACTATGTGTCTATTATAGGGGATCTGAAAACCATTGATTGGAATGATAGCCTACGCGCTCATAATAATGTTAATGATATGGCATCTGAGTTCTACAAAATCCTTAACACCTTGTATATTATGTTTTAATTGTATTTTTTACATTTTTTAAATTTTAAATTTCTATTTTTTGTTTGTGAAACTTGTGTTTACGTTAATTGTCACACATTTAAGATGTAAGTTTTTGTAAAATAATTAGTAGATTAAGTATTGTGTGTGATGTCTGTAAGCCTAATAAAAAAAAAAAAAAAAATAATAATAATAAGTACGTAAGTTTATTTAATGTTTCTGCTTTTTATTTTGAACCATTTACATGTATGTATAATATGTATAGTATGCCTATGTAACCGAAACAGTTGTTTCTTCAGTACCTAATCAAACATGGCGAAACGCCATATGTCATAAATAAGGGAATAAAATTATTTTATTATCTATCGTTTGTAATGCTGTTAATCTTTACCTGATAGTGCTGTAATTTTACTTTCGCGATCTGCTGCAGGGGTCCTACCTTTACTTGTTTTGCAATAATCGTGCCTTAACATACAACGTTGTCATTACAAGATGTAGTAACCGAATGCTCTATATTTAAATAATTATTTGCATTGGTTAGTATTTTCAAGCTGTAAACAGTGGATCGAAATAAATAAGAACAATGAGGTTACCTAAAAAAGGAAGTTACTTTGTATGCAGCACCTTATAAAAAAATCATGTATATGCCCAATGCCCATATTCCTCGCAGAGACAAAAATTTACATAAATTAATAGTTTTTTAGAGTAAAATAAATGATAGTCTAACATAGTTCTACAATTTACTTATACCTACACCTATCATATTTGAGTTTACACACCAATAAATATATTGAAAATAAACAGTGTAAAATGACATGAATTCATCGCGTTATACTTATCATTACTTTTCATATTAAATTTGTACGGTCTATGTACATATTATGTATAATAATATTTTGTATACGTTTTACATGTTTTAGTTGCAATAATACGCGTGAATGCGCCACCTGTTTGGTTAATCCAAATCATATTGTTAAGTTAAGCGCCATCTATCACGCATTTAAATAACACTGTACTCTATGCCCAGCAATACGACCGCAACACAAAAAATATATTTTGGTTTATGGTATTTTCAGTAACCAATAGAATTAAAGATATATACAGATTGACGTTAACGTTTTAATTTTGAAAACTCAAACTTTGAAAACGAATTTTGGAGGCGTGTCGTGAATGTAATTGTTTATAACGTTAATCTATAAAGTGGCATTATTGTGGATGTTTTATCCATATATTTAACATTAGAAGTGGTACTTTAATATAGAGTGATTAGTGTTCTCTGTTTAAAATGACTGTAAAGAGAGAGGATATTGAAAAACATTTGTAAGTTTGATATTTGCGGAAACCTAATATATTTTTACTTTCTCTACCTACTATATCTTTGAGACTCTTACTATAAATACATTAAACTTATTCACTATTTAATAATTAATGCAATATTATAGTGCATGTCTTATGGTTGCTTTCTTTATATTTTGTATGTTTGTTTTAGTGATGAAACTATTGAAAAAATAACCAAAGACCTTCGCCACCTTATGAGTAGATTATGGGAGAATTGGTCGCACTTGGGGGTTGATGAGAAAACCAAATTTGCTAATATCGTCAAGTTAAACCAAATCGAACATGATTTTCACAATGAAGTAATGACAGAGACAACATTGAAAATGAAATTGCTACAAGAAGAAATTGAAAGTAAGGTGACTCTTATTTAGATATAACAGTTAAGATTATATTGTTAAAATAATATTTTTTATTATAAAATAGTTTGTAATACCTGTACAAGGTATGGATATCAGTATGTATAATATTTAGACTAAGTTGTCTTGATAGTTTTGTATATTTTCTGTAGATCTGAACCCTGTCCCTAATTAATTAAGTATTTGCTAGCTTACATTTTATGATGTGAAGTTAATGACTATTATAATGTAAGCTTCAAAATTTCTTTATGTAGATTTAAAGGAAGAAACTGAAGAATTAAGCAGAAGTCTGTCAATAAACATAGAGTTGCAGTCAATGACAGAAGATACCCTGCTTTATCAGTACAAGAAAGATTTAGAAGATCAAATAGCTGGTTATAGAGAGCAAGTGAAGCAACGCACAATCAAAATGGAAAGATTGATGGAGTGGCAACAGGACTTGAGTGAGAAACTTGGTGTAACTATGCAAGAACTTCAAGAAATACCTCTGCCATCAGAGGAGGAGTTAGATCAGCTAAAACATAACTTAGAGGTGCTGCAGGCCGAGAGGGATAGAAGGGTAGAAAGCTTCCTCTACACACAGGTTGAGATAAAGGACATTATGGGTAAGTGTGAGAGCTATACTTAATAAATGTTAAATTTATGTTCTGAAAGTAATTTAAGTACCTACATCTATATTTTTAATAGAATTGTTTTTTTGTTTGAGTGACAATGACATAGTCTATAATGCTTAGGTATGCCTACCTATATAATTTACATATTGGTACTAAGTTAGCCACAAGTCTGAGGAAAAGTCTGGATGACCTTTTTTCAAATATGCTATATATACAAGAAATCTATAAACCAGGGTAACTTGTTCTTCTTAAATTACAGAAAAGTTGCAAATGAAACCACAAAGCAAATTTGAGCAGATGGTTGTGTCATCCCTGTCAGTTGACTTCAAAGTAACGGACATGAATATGGATAGGCTCGCTAAACTTAAACAAGATTTGCAAGAGAAATATGAACAAACTAACAATAGGGTGAGAATATTTTGCAAACCCTAATATTGGATTGTATTGAATACTTAAACAAAATTATGTTTTAATGGTTACTACTAATCAGTTTATGACATTTATTATTAAAAAACATGTTTTTATTGTCAGTGTATCAACAAATTACATTTTTTTAAATCATCAATTTCGTAGGTATTAGAGCTACGTGAACGTTTAGCAAGGTTATGGGAGTGCCTAGAGGAAGACCGAATTTACAGAGACAACTTTCTTCAAGCACACCCTGGCTGCAGCCCTCCCACTGAGGCAGCTCTTAAGGAAGAATTGAAACGTTGTGAAGTGATCAAACGGCAGAAGATTTCTGTAAGTTATTATTTATTTTTATTTATTTAGCTCCCTGCATTTAAGGTGAGTCAGTACACACATAAATTACAAATAGTTTGACTAGTATAGTAACTTCATACACATAGACAATTATTTTGGGCTACATTACTTGCATTTTTGAGATCACTCCAAGCTTGTGTCCAGTGTAAGCAGTGTTGCTGGTGATAGCAACTTTAGAGAGTTGATGCGTATTTTTAGTTACATTCATTACCCTTTATTTTGAGTCTAAGACAATGCTGGTTTCCTCTCTCTATGTTGTTACTTCTTCACAAGCGAGTGTATATTCAATAGGCAAGTCCATCCAAAACTGCTTAGTAATCAAATAAGTTCTTTCATTAACTTAATGAATAAATTTACTTATTTCTGTAGAAAAAAACATCAGTGTTATAAAAGATATAATAATACAGGTATTTGTGGCCAATATCCGCACCAAGATAAAGCTAATGTGGGACAACCTGATGTATTCTCGCGAACAGAGGGATGAGTTCCAACATTACCATGTGGACCACTACACTGAGGATATACTGGCACTACATGAGATGTACCTCGAGAAGATTACCAAGTTCTATGAAGAACATAGGTATGTATCATTTATCTCTTTGTTTTCTTGTTAATTTGTTTCTATTTAAGAGATTTTCATCTCCTCCTACACCATCAGTAGTAGTATTTAAATTGTTAAACTAGTAATAATGCCTTTAATAAGAAAATTTGAATATACATATTTTTTTTTATATTTACTTAATTGTCTGGCACTTTGTACTTAGCAAAAGCATATTTTGATTCGAAAAACTTGTAAAGCTTAGAGTACTTCTAAATTAGTGACTGATGTGTAAACTTAATTTGAATAGAAGTACAGTTTTCTTTTAATTTAAATCGACAGGCATTTCCCGTATCGTAAAGTTTTAGAGGTATACGGGACTCGATCCAAACACACCACCACCTCAGAACCTATTTGTATATATTATATAATGTGAGCACTTCGTCATAGTCGTAGAATAGTGACGGATCTGACAAATAGTAAACTTATTTTAATAATATAATCATGTTAGTTTTTTCGTCATAACTTTTTTAATTCATATTCTGTTATTATGAAAATTGGCATACAAGCGAACAAAAGGTTTTGTTTTGAAACAAAATAAAAATAATATCATTAAATTACACAGTTTTCTAGAAACATGCTTCTATGAGCCTACCTATCAAATCCGTCACTTAACCGACTGATTAATTTGAAATTTAAAACACATGGATTTTTTTTAATGTAGCCGTAATATTTAGTCAATGTAGTATCCAAAAATGATAAAAAGTGGATTTTGGATTTTTTTCAAATCCGACATTGTTTTCCGATCGCGACGACTTATTACGAAAGGGTGAGATAAATCGCAACCTAACTTGAGCTTTTACTGCGTTACAGGGATATTTATGAGTTAGTGGCGACCCGTAAGGGACTGTGGCAGAAGATGACGGAGCTGGAGTCCCGGGCCTCCGCCCCTGGCCGCTTTAACAACCGCGGAGGGCAGCTGCTTAAGGAAGAACGGGAGAGGAAGGCGATCACTAGCAGTGTGAGTGATATTTTAAGAGATATAAAAGAGTTGCCTAAAATTGTTAAAAACAATGAAAAAGCGTTGTAAATAAGAATTATATTAGTTCGCATAACTGCCACGCCCGTTCTCTTTCCGCTCAATTATTAAAATAGGTGCTTTTTTAAATTGGTATTGTTTAAAAAATCGAAATACGAAAAGCGTATGCTACTATATGTAATAGTAATAATGCTTTTTATTCAACAAGTAGGACATATTTTTAGTATTTAATGTTTCCAGTTGCCAAATGTGGAGGCTCAAATTCGGGATAAGGTCCTGAAGTACGAAGAAGAGACAGGTGCGACCTTTACCATTGATGGGAAGCCTCTACTGGAGCTAATGAAAGATGACTGGGAGAATAGAAAGGCGGTGGGTGGAGATATTAATATTATACCTATTTTGGATTATTTAAGTTCTTATTTTGTTTTTAAAAAAACTTTCTGAAATTATATTTTACGGTTATTTTTTTTTGTATTTTCTAAATTTAATTATTATAGGAAAAAGTATCTGAAAAGGTGTAAGGTTTATAATTTAACAATGAATTATTTAATTAAAAACCGGTTACTGGCTTTTTACATAATTATTTAAAGTGGATAGAGATTTTCACTTTGATTAATTATGTGGTACTCCGATTTCGATAAATTTATCTTCTAACAAAGCAAATAAAATTACAATTCTACGGTCCTTAACAGGAGCGTCAAAACAAAATGTCAGCCCGTAAGCAAGCTTTGACGCCAACCACACCCAGTTTCCGGTCTATGGCTACTTCACCCCTTGGAAAACGCAACCGTACAGCAGCAGGACTAGCGCATACCGCCGATAGGAACAGGTAAGAGAAAAGAAGCATAAAATAATGATCACGGATTTGTTTAATCAACACAGTTAAATAACAATTTTTAAATAAATAATAAAATTGCGTCATAATTCCTTATATTCTGCCTTATGCCGTATAGTGGCATAATTTACAAACATAAGTACAATATAGATAAGCGATCTTGATAAGGGGTGTGTTATGCGACACGGCCATACCAGATGTTGCATTGTTTCCCATAAGGGAGCGTTCAAGTATTACGTCACGCAATTTTTAGAGATTATTGACCCCCCATGTAACGCATACCCCAATAACGGGTAACTCCCTGGGCGATTGCTGGTAGCGCCGTTGGGGTTTTGAAGTGGGTATGCACAACAGCGAGTCCCACATAACCCTTCCCCACCAGGTCAACCGTGCCGCGGGAGGGTATGCGTAACGCATTTCCCCACGGAAAAAAAAAGCTTGTCTTCTATACAATGATACACTACATAGCATTACTCCTACTCTCAATAACAACAACAATTGAGTAATAAAGTACTTTTAAAGTTGCTAAAATTAGTAAAAACTGCGCATCTGTGTACGTTATCCTAGCTCGCAATAAACTCGACTGTCGGCATCATGTATACAAACTTTCTAAGAAAGTCGTTCTTTTTTATTTGTTTTCTTAGGATTGCTTGCACGTGTAGACTGTTGTTGACCATGACTAGTAAGAGTAGGAGTCATGGATTATTATCTATACGTTATCATATTCTTAACACTGTATTGATGAAAAAGTTTTACTAATACGCGCAATAGAGACGGGAGAGTAGATAAGTGATGTTGGCAAACGCTTTGCTTCACTCACAGACAGAAATTTTGGATTCAGTGAGAAACACTGAGGATCAAGAATAAGGAGAAAAAGATGAGACGGATGAGCCTGAGCCTCCGATGAGTCCGAGCATTAAAGAAGCTCTGGTAGCAGCTAAATTATTTGATAAATACTTCCTTCATTACCAAGATGCCTCAATATCGCAAGATATGAATGAAATAAGTAAAAAGACGTCAGACAAAAATAACAGACTATATTAAATTAATTGAATAGCATTCAAATAAGATTATTTTTTATGTACATAACTAATAACGGTTTTCTTTCAAACTTTTTCTTTTTCTAATTATGATTTTTCTTCTCTCCATTTAACGATAACCTTCTGTAGCGCCATAAAAGTATCGTTATATAGAGTTTACACTGTATTTGTATATTATCTTTAAATCATAAATACGAATTTATTGGATTGTTAATGTAATCTTTAAAGAACTCAACTCGTCGTTTTAAGTACTTTATATTTAATACATTTCAACCTCCCGCTGACCCCGCTAATAGCCTTTAAAGAGTTATATTTATATAATGCAGTTTATTTATATAAAATACTAGCAGACCGGCCAAGCGTTGCTGTGGATAAGGTTTTTGTTATATTACATAGTAGCAAACTATTCAAGGGAAACTGTAGGAGAACACCAGTCATGGGGACTACCATGCTTTATTGTTATTCCAAAATTGTAGCTTATGTGAAACGTTGGTACTTTCAACACAGCGCCATCTGTTAGAATTGTGACTATCAAATAACAAACAAATATTTTGCAATAAAATAATATTGCGGTGTGCCAATTTGATTGATTCGGTCCATAGCGGACAAACAACGTGACACGTAATTTATATATATTAAGATTTAAATGTGAATTATAGGCCACCGACGAAACGCCAGCTGGTGACGGGCAGTGCTACAAAAGCCACCTCCATATTAACAGCGAACCGCTCCGTGCTTAAGAGATCCGCCATTACTTCTATTAAAAGGTGAGTATATAATGTAATTTACCCAAAATATATGAAAATATCGCGGTCAAAACCTTTTTTTTCTTTACAGTGCTCGTTTGTGAAATGAATGAAGTGTAATGTTGTGACAGGCGAGGTATATCATTACATAAAAAGTAAATTAAGAACTGTTACATCATTGCCCGTAAAAGTAATTATAGTCCTCGGTAATTATATATTTATGTAACAATTGATTGCGTTTGTACAGTATGACTTGATTGCTTGTAGTAGACTTGAAAAAAGGATATAATTTGACGATTTTGGCCCTTGAATAAGTAAATAAACTAACTAAATTGTAGATTTATTTATTTTATTTATTGTAGACGAATTTGAATAGAAAACTGGTTGTTAATTAATTATTTTTTTCATATTTTGTCTTGCTTTTCTAGTATATCGTCACCTTATATGTATTATCGAACGTAACGCGGAATAAATAAACGAGAATGGAGGAACCTTCAGAGGAAATCTTAAAGTAGAATTTTGTTGAACTAAAAAATAAAATGATTGGGTTTCTAAAGTCAAGGTGCTTTTATAGCGTAGGCGAATATTTGGCCTATAAGTGACATTGATTATAAATAGCTTGACGTATTATCTGACTTATGTTAATGTTTTTATTATATGACAAAGAAAAATTTAACATTTGCATGCCTATTTATATATGGCTGATTGTCGGATATAAAAAATAAATAATGTGATTATAAAATCACATAAGGTTTGATTGTAATATAGTAAAATTAAATAAACTAATTGTTAATTATGTAAGATAAATTTGCACGCTATTATATGTGGCAGAATATGCGGAGTTAAGATTGTACAACCATAAGATTTTTATACCATATTCTTGCAAATAAATGATTATTATTATTATTATTAAATATAAAAACAATATTGAACTTTAACACATGTCAAATATTGTTTTTATATTTTCTTGCGGTCCTTACGTTACTTTAACATTTCTGACTAATCACATGAAACAAAACGACTTTTTACTTTACACAATTTTATTTTTTTAATTAAAATTAAAATAAATCAAACAAACTAGAAATTATAAGTTTTTTTATAACATAATTCTGAATATGTTACTAATTCTTTCAGACGCATAAGCGGTCGTTTGGCAGCTCGCGACGAAGGCAAGTCTGAAGCGAAGCGAAAGTTGGACTACCTCGAGCCACACACCAAGAACACAAAGATCATTGTAAATGGCAGCATTCTTAAGCACAAGCGTACTGTAGGTGTTTTCTATTATTTGTCTCTAGCTCTGTTTTCATATAATTCGCGTAAACGTCAGAAAGAACTTCAACTTATTTTCAAAACCTTTAACTGAAAAAAAAAAAAAATAGAAAAAACTAAATAAGGCCTTAAAATGCGAGAGACAGTACAAAGTACGACACCTTTGCGTCTTTATTGTTGATTCGTTTAAATTTTAACACTAAATTCATTCGTTTTTGTTATAAAAAAGTGCGTGTGTACAAAGTACACATGTCAGAAGTGATACTTCTTTTGTAAACAAATTTTTAAGTCTTGTTCATATTTATACAAATCTAAAACTTTAGATTTCCGAGACTTAGAGTGAGGGAAAAAGGAAGATATGTTAGGAATTTAACAGTCGAAAATTTATATAAATTATAAATATTTTAAAATTTATTTCTTCAATAATAAAAACACGTGGCATTTTAATTTATAATTCGTCATTTGAGATTTCAATAAATTATTTTGCATAAAATATAAAATACTAATATTTCATCAATTCTCTTTACGAAATTTTAATTTAAAAAATATAATTTCTATAAGGTAATTCGCCCTTCTCTCTCAATCGGTCTCAATCGCTCTCTCCCTTTTCTTCGACAAAAACGCTGCACATCTTCGTGACGTTCCGTAAAAAATTTACCCTCATGCGCCTAAGGGAGTTTCACTTAAAAAATAATTTAAAATTACACTTTGCGGTCTAACTAGTTTATGGTACATTAACAACCTCAAAGATTTGTGTCGCACATTTTTATTATCCATCAAACTAATTTAAAATTTTGATACGGTTTAATTTGCTAAATAAATTATTTTGTATGTACATGACTCAGAGCTTGAGACCCTTCAATAATTATTATATATTTATATAGATTGCTTTAGAATTATTTTAGTAGTAGTATTTGTCGAAATTTTCTAGTGAATGTAGAATTGTTTGAAGCTTCGCTTCCATATGCGTAGACTTGTTCATTACAAATAGTTTCACCAGGTATCGAATTTAGGGTGTTCAGGATATTTAAGGTTTATTACGACTACAATGTGTATACTCCTGTTGCCGTCAATGGGCCTTGGGATGAACACATTGTGGTCTGTTTGATATTGTTTTTACATTCAAGTTAGTGATCAGCTTTCTGTGGCCATAATTCAGCATACGAGAGTAATACTTAGCGCTTTTACTTTCACGGGGTTATCTAGAAAACACGTGTATTTATGCTAACATATTATAAAGAGGAAAATTTTTGCATGGTATAAGCTCAAAAACTACTTGACAGATTACAAAAATTCTTTCACAATTAGGCAGCGTTCAAGTATTACGTAACGCAATTTTTAAAGATTTTAGAAGCTCCCTTCCTCCCATGTATCCTTGAACGCTCCCTTAGAACGCATCATTATCCTTAAGTTACATAGGCTATATTTATTTCCAAAACATTAAAAATATGAAGCTGTATGAAGCCGGGATGGGCTGCTAGTATTACTTAGTATCTGTTAATAAATAAAATGTTATTATCGGTCAAACCATTTTCTTTATGATAATTTGGACAGTGCTCAAACTAGATGATCCTTTGTCATGGTTACTTAGGACCGCTAAAAAGATGTTTTTTTGCAGTCGCTCAGTCGCCGATGTTCTAACCGTCAATCGGTGAATGTCACTCAAACTACATCTGGAGATGAACAACCGCTGGCAGAGTCAACTATGCTCACGACTTACACGGACTTTAGGGTAAGAAATGATAGCTCGGAATGCGAATTACGTGAAAAAGCGTGTTTTATATTTTATCTCATACAAAATTTTCTGGCAATAGGGTGCGATTTGAATCAATAATCATTATTTTGTTATCAAATCTACATGCCAAAACGATCAAATTTCGTTTTCTAACACGATTAGTTGTTTTTTAATTATAAGTTTATATCTTAATAGATTCTTAAATCTAACTAAAGGCCGATTTACATTATCTTAGTATTTAGCAGAGTGCTTTAGGATAGTAGTTTAGTTGAAACATGTTAACGCTACTTGCTTTAGTACGGTTCTACTTGACTTTCAAGTTGAATCAAAATAGAATCGCTTTTTTATTTTTGTTTCAAGTGATACCCCTCCCGCGCCCGCGCAACCCCCGAGATCTTTCCTCGTTGTGTGTAAACACCTAATTTAGTAAAATCTTTAGGAGTGTGCACAAGTGCCGTAAAACGCTTGCGTGTTTTTTGATTCTTAAAGATGGCTAAATGGTCGGAAGATACAACTATCAAATTTGTGTCTAAATATGTTGTTCACGAATGTTTGTGGAACGTTAAAAACAATTTATACAAAAACAAACAGGCTAGGCATTCGGCATACACTGCCTTAAAAGAAGCTATTTTATTTATTATTTATATTTAGTTTATTTATTTCGAATAAAATCTCGACTTCTATTTGTTCCATAACTACAGTTAGTATTTTGCGTAGAATAGAGTGTATTTGCCGACGTCATTGCGCGTTCATTGTGGCGCTGTAATGATACTCTACTGGAAGAAATGTAAACGTTCACTCGCAACGCACTAAAGAACTTGCCTTTCAAGTTGTACTAAAATACTCTCCTAAACACTAAGATAATGTAAATCGGCCCTAATACCTTTTGTTTCATTTATAATATTTTTATATACAAGTAATTTTTATAACAAAGATGTTTTAAGCCTTCCCAGTTTTACACACCTCGTTGATTTTTGGCTAAGACATTTTTCGCAAAATATTATAAATTGATGCGTAGTTCAATGAATGTTTATTGTGACTGTATCATTTTGGATTTTTCTGAATTATTGCTTCTTCTTTCTTTATCGATTATTTTAGAATCTTATATTTTATTTGAACAATTTTAATATTCACACATTTATATGGGATATGTGCGAGCTATATTGGGTATATTATGTGTTTAATATTATATATGTACTTTATTATATTTTATTTAATGTTTCTCGACATTATCGGATTGGCATAGTCTGTAAGGATAATGTATGTATTTCTGTAATAAATAAATAAATAAAATAAATTTCTCTTTAGGACGGCATCCATCTAAAACAAATCAGTCGAAGTTCAGTGGCACACAACGCACAACACAACGTTGATAATATCGTAAGCATCAAAGTTGAGACGCCCAAGACTGCACTCAGAAATGCGGCCCAAACTCCAAGAGGGAAGGAAAATACCCCAAACCCCTCGAATTTACTTGTTACACCCAACCGCCTAACGCGCTCAGCCACTAAGTTGAATCTTGATGGGTTCGCTACACCCCGTACACCTCTTAGTTCAAAGAACAATGTTGTTAAGAATATGCAATTGAAGACGACACCGAATAGTGTTGGACGGTCCAAGTCACAAACACATCTGCATAGAGTGAAGAACCTGCCGCCCCTTATTTAATCCACTATGGCCTTAGGTATGTTCTCAATCTTTTCACCCAAAATGGGATTCCCGAAACTTTTAGCTTATTTATTTAAAATAATAATGTGTAAAACTGTGAAAGTTCGTCCGGCAATTTTTATAAAACATTTTATTGTTTGTGTCTAATATTATTAAAAGGGTTTTCAGAAGTTATTTTTAGACATTTTAATCAGTATATTTAGAATGAAACACAAATTTGGGCTGCTTTAAAAATATTGGTATTCTCCTTTGGAGTTGCTAAACTTTTTTTTCTTTTAACAATCTTAAATTACTTGTATATTCATTTTTTATGAGATTTATTATTTTAACAACATCCAAAATTATTTAAAAATAAAATGCTAGAGTTTTAAATTGTTATTCATTTCCATAGGAGTAGTGGTAAATAAATAAAGCGAGTGAGGTTTTTCAATCCGATCGATGCTGGTTAGTGGTTTTCTTAGATGGTTGTAAGTTGGTTGTATATATTTGATGAATTTAAAAAACCCCCGCTATTGAAAAGCTTTACAGCTTTACAGCTTTACTATGTAAAATCTGAAATCGATAGCGATAAATCTAACCAATAATTGGTCAAATATTCACGGTATAACAAATAATAATAGTGATAAAACCTTATTTCATGTAATTTCAATACATGTAGCGCTGATGTAGAATCGCTATTGAAGTTACAGGGTAAGCCTGTGGCATATTTTAGAGTATGGAAATAACATAAATCAGTTTTCAGCAACGGGGGATTTTTAAATTTGGTTTAAGTTAATCTCTTAAAAGATTTTTGTCATCTGCGCATTCAAATTAGTCCATAGATTATTCTCAATTTCGACAATATTTGACAGTAACGCAAACAATTGATTGTGTTTGGTGACCATAGATTAAAAAATCGGGGTATTTCTAAAGATGAATCTGGATGTTTGGCTTGTTTTCTCTTCCGATATGATGGATTTCTCCGTATTACAAATATAGGTAGGTATTCATTTAATAGTCTTTAATCTGTTTATTATTTGTACCTATAACTTTGATTACTATACTCGTACGTTAAGTTTTTTTTTGTAAACGCCCATCGACTTTTGAGATTTTTACTTTAATAATGTTTTTACTTTTAAGTTTTTTGACATTTACGCTTTTAGTACACCTACGCAATCGCATGCGGCCGGGGAACCCCCAAAAAAATTTTTTTTTTTTTTTTTTTTTTTTTTCCGCATGTGTTTTCTGACTCTCATTATATAGCTAGATGAAATGTAGCGTCCTCTTGTCGGTATTGTTTCGCAAGAATATGGCTGTTACACAGACGCAGTTCGCTAGCGGAATTTCGCATCGCAATGCGTCACCACGCTTCTGTCAGTGAGGACAGAATTTCGCACAATGGAAGCCGAAAATATTAATTATTATTAAATTTGATTCGAAATATCCCGAATTATATTTAGTTGGGCATTTTAATTACAAAAAGCATACAAAAAGAGGGCATGGAGGAAAATCAAGAAAAGACGGGGATAGTGGTAATGCAATGACATTTCCTTGCGAAAAAACTGCAGGTATAAGTTCCGCAGAGTATTTCGCTACCGCAATTATTTCGCAAAGACTCGCAGCCGCATACGAACGCGTAGGTGTACTAAAGGCGTTAAATGTAGTTTTCGTAATAGATTGTGTGATGTTTTCTCTTTACACGCTTTGATAGCAGCTTCAGTACTTAAAACTAAGAGTATTAAACGTTTCCAATGTATGCTTGATTATTTTTTAATTTCGTTATTGGCATCGGCATAGTTGGCAAGATTTTTGGTCGCATTCAAATCACATTCCTGTTTCGATCGTTATTTTTACTGATTTTATGGAGAAGCAAATAAAATAATCGCGTATGAAATCTTGCCAATTAATCTGCGGGAACTATACTGGGCTTATTCTAAGGAAAGTTTGAAAGTAAATATATTTGATTTTAAAATTTATATGGTAAAATATCGAGTTCGTCCACAAATTTTAGCCTCATATTTAAGTTGCACCTGGAGTTTTTAGGATTAAACTTTAGTTTTATCAATGGCATTCTATGTCCTCTTTATAATACGTATCTATTTATTATGTTTTATCCTAATATTATCTTTATTTCTTAAGTGCCTCAAACGTTAGTATCATCAATGCCGTATTTTTCAAGTTATGTGTAAATAAATTATTTGTAATATAATATAAATGTTTGTTTTATTCCAATTCCACTTAGTTTTTTGTTGTCACCAGAAAAAAATTATCCAGTTCTAAACTTAAAGAAATCGTTTCTACAATATCGAATACATACGTACCGACGAAAAAATTGAAAATATAATTTGTTTCCATGCCCAACGTTCTTGAATCTAGTCGATTGAAAGACGGAAGTCAAAATATAAGAAAATTTCGAATCAAAATAATATTTGCTAAGTCGCAGCCTCATAGATTTGAACGGGTAATAGTATATTAACGGTTTATAGTAAAAATGTCGATATTTTTTGATTTCAATATTGGCCCAAAGGGAAGAAGGCTTAGAAGGGCCGTACAAGAGGATAAATATGAAATTGAAGCTTTGCTAAAAGAAAACGAGTCGGAGAAATTGTTTGGTGAGGTTGATGTCGGGAGTTTGATGTAAGTATATTAATGACACTTTAATAACACTTGGTCTCAAAATATAACAAACAAAGACGAAGGGCGTAGATAGGCGGTCTTAGATCTTTACATATACCTAATATAAATATTAGAAACATAGCTTTTTTCTACAAGTAAAATAATTAAAAAATAATATGTACTGAATAAGTAGGTACGTAGGTAACGTACGTAAAAAGAAATTCACTCATTCAACAACTTACAACTCCACGTTTCAGTGAATTAACAACGTTATCAATATGTATGGTTAATTCCAAGCAGGAGGTAATAGGATTTATGTCAGTATGTGACCATCCTTCCATTCCCGGCGTGGACCCGGCAGCTTGGGAGCCTTGGATGCGGAATATGTATCAGTAAGTTTCTATAGTTTTCCTTTGAACTTCATACCCAGTCGGTAATTTTGTAAAAAAAATATTTAACTTTTCGGTATACTGCATAAAATATGCTTTAATTGTACGATCTTGGGACATACTCAGGTATCAAAAGGAAACAATCCAATATAATTTTTTCATGGTTTTTGTTACAGAAAATACTATTTATCACGAAATACTTTGTTCATCCACGCAATGTGTTGTGCTGAGACTGCATTCGCTTATTTTCTAGAAGAGTCTTTGGTATCTCTGTTTAAGAACGATGTTTATTTGCAACAAATAGTGCTTATGGTTCCACCAGATTGCCCTAAGGGTAAGTACTATAAAAATATTATATTTTTCGTGATATTAAAATGTGCAATAATATAAAGTTAGTTAAGTTAATATAAAGTAAAAGTACATGATTAGGGAAACTAGCTTGGGATGTAAGTTTTCCGACGACATTATTTTATCTTTGTTGATATGTAGTGGATTTTATAAATAACTACTGAATGATATATATGTATACTAGCTAAAATGGCAACGGTTTTGCCATGTATATCATTTAGAAGAAAAAAATAGATGTTGATCGTAGAGGGTGAAAATTAGGATTGTACATATTCAACAGTTTCATAAAAAAATGGGTACAAGCCGTACATTTAGGGAGGATGAAAAATATGTTTTACGATTCCAGACACCAATTGCACACAAAATTTTATAGATTCGATTCAGCTGTTTGGGTTATTACAAATACCGCGACACGAGAATTTTTATATTCGTTATCATTATTTATTTTATAAATAAATTATTTTTATAGTAAACAATTTACAATCAGGTATAAATCAATAAAATTAAAGACGAAACAATGGCGCGTTCCGTTTAAATGTTATTGGTCATCAGTATATGAACGCGTGTTAGTATATGCAGGTATTATTTTCAGAGTTCATTCTAAAGTATCAGACTGTCCGAAAATATAATTACAAGAGAAACAAAGCGAAACGGGACGATGACAACGACCCTAATTATCATTATTTCTATACGGCTATACGACAAGATTTCTGTCCAAAATTGAGAATACGACGAGCTGTGTAAGTTGTTACATAACAATATTAATCGATCTATTATTACGGTCAGAAACTGTTTTACCTCTTAACATCAAGAGAGTCGTGGCTCTATGTCGAGTATGGCTCTTGGGGAAAAAAAAAATGTAAAAAAAAAAAAAAAAACAGGTTTTTTTTTTGTTAAAAGGGAGGCCCCAAAAAAAAAAAAAAAAAAAAAAAAAAAACAAAAGTTTAAGATGATATTTTATGTTTAAAAGCCTTTTCCTTATTTATTTAATTGACTAACTCTACCCAAGTAAATTAATGGTTGAAAACAATCGGAATCTGCCGTACAGTTGACCGATTTGCGATCTCTCTGTTTCGTAACACGTAGCTCCTTTAGATATAGGTTTAGGAATAATCTCTTTTCCATTTCAAAGATTTACACTCATTGTCATTACAAATAAGTAATTCAAACTTACAATAACATACAATATTTAAAACTAAGATTAAAAATAAGATGGAAATAAGTAACTGTTAGAATCGAGCTTCGCATTATGTAGTACATAATATATCAAAATAACAAAACAAAACATGCAACAAACATTTGTTAAGATTGGTAAGATGGTCAAAAATGGATGATAAAGGTTCTTGGGATCAGTCGTAACTCAACAAGGAAAATCAATGGTTATCGGAATTGGTTTGAATTTGCGCTTTTTACTAGAGTTCTTAGATGTCAATAGAGAAAAGATTTAACTCGCCTCTAAGTGCGTCATTTATCAAGGTAATATGCTTTATAATAATCCTAAATCCCAGTGAGGAAGACAACGACGACATAGTAGCAATTCTCGACAAGAATTCTCCTCGATTACGCGAGTTGTACGGCGACTATTACATCAGTGAGATTATCGGACAGCATCCAGAAATGAAAAGAAAGATTATTGTAACAGAGGTTAGTAATTGATTACATCATAAATGAAAATAAATAATAAGATTCTATGTCAGTTGAAGATTTATCGATTATTACTCTCATGTCACATTAAGGTTACAAAACACTACTAAGCTTATTAATTTAAGTACCTCTTTATTTACTTATTGTTTATATCTGAATTTTCAGGGTATTGATGGAGTAACTGGTGTAATGTGTTTGAATTCTGATGTTAATTTTTCCATGCTTCAAAATACATACGAGTTGGATTCATACCACGGGCTGTGTAAGGCTACACCTCTTGAAAAAGAGAAAAATAGGAGAAGCAACATTCTTCTACGTACTTTTGGGTACGACATCTGTCATTTTCCGCGTGTAAAAGAAATTAATCAGCACCATATTAGTATTTAGTAATATAAGCGATTAATTGTACCTACTTTAACTACTTTTTATAAAACTAAGCAGTGTTGGCCTAGTGGCTTCAGCGTGCGACTCCCATACCTGAGGACGTAGGTTCGATCCCCGGCTTTGCACCAATGGACTTTCTTTCTATGTGCGCATTTAACACTTGCTCGAACGGTGAAGGAAAACATCGTGAGGAAACCGACATGTCTTAGACCCAAAAAGTCGACGGCGTGTGTCAGGCACTGGAGGCTGATCACCTACTTGCCTATTAGATTTAAAAATGATCATAAAACAGATTCAAAAATCTGAGGCCAAGACCTAAAGTGATTGTAGCGCCACTGTTTTTTTTTAATAAAACTAAAGATGTGAAACCTGAAAAAGAGAGAAACTTCTATAATTGAGAATTGCAATGAGTTTCCGACACTTTTTCATCGAATTACCTCTGATATTGGGACTTTTTTAACCTGGTTAAATCAAATTTCATTCTAGGATTTTTTCGATGATTATCTCTACAATTGGGACTGTAGCTCAATTCCCTGTATAAGTGAGACAATTTATCAGTTTAGAACAAATTTCGACACGTTTGTTTACAGTATTATATTGTTTTTTTTATTAACATTTCCACCTCTATACCTAAATGGAATAACGGTATATTTCGACCTCTATAAGCGAGGGCCTCTGTAAATAAGGATCTTATTGGAAATCTGGATAAATGAAAATCCTTGGTCCCTTAAAGCGCTTATTAACTAGGTTTGATTGTGTATAATGTGATAGTTATAATTCGTATTAAAATAGTTAATTTCGAAAGAATAGTCAACGTGTTATTGTAACCCACCTATTTCGCATCTCAAGGACCTAATGAAACATTTTCCAGGGACCCCATTATGCTAGGAAAATGGACTCCATTTGACGTTACTCCCTTCATTGAACATGAAAATACTCAGGATGTATGTATGATCTTTGCATAATTTTAAATAAATCTATTAATTAAAAATATTTTGATGATGAAATAATACAGGTTATATTTTGTATTGTAAAATATCAACATACAAATTTTAGCTAGTGTCCATGGTTAATAAGCAATAAAGACACATGACAGACATGATTTAGAATTGAAAGAAATAAGAAACAAATAGGGAAATCGTGGGATAGGATGTGGATGTGTGTGAATTATGTATTTCAAGAATTTTGTAGTATAAAACTACTTATATGACAGAGAGAGGGGAGTATATTTCACATAAATAATGCAACAGGAAGGTCAAAACTACACTAATCGAGCTGATCGAGCATTCGAACCAAGCAGAAGCAATACTCACGTCACCTTCTTTATTAAATAATCTGCAGGTCCAGTTTTTGTGACTATTCAGGCCATCCTTTCTCGTACCTCTCGCCATCCATTTTATCTGTCGTCGCCCTTTTTTTCTCTCTCTCTCTATGTTTTTCGGTCAATTATCTTTGTCATTACTTAATCAATATCCCTCTCATTCCTCATATTCGTAAAGAGGAATCTGTATAATGGCACCGTTTTAACTTGAATACTCATCTGTCCCTATTCATCACAGCGTTAACAGAATTTGACAGGAGTGAGAATTTTAGTCAAAAGAGTGCAATTAGTTTTAGGGTCTGTTTCACAATGTACGGATAAGTTCTACATAAGTACCAAATTAGCTATTTATTACTTATTGGTATGATAAACACTATTGTTGCGTTTCACGACTGTCAGATAACGCTTTTCATCACATAAAGTCCATCATAAGTTATGATTCCGATAAAGTGTCAAATAGCACAATTTATATTCCAAATAATTTTTGTGTTCCATAGCTATTTGGTACTTTATCCATACATTGTGAAACAGACCCTTAATGAATAATAAAATCTTAAAAGACTTTACTTTGAATATACGAAAATGAATTTTAAAATAATTTGTAGGATCAATCATACGACAATGTAAGCCTGAAAACAAAACCTTCAAATAAGGTGAACTTCCGTCGCCAGTCTCACTATAATATTGATGTACATAACTCCGAAGAATTAAGTGAAAAACTCTCGCCAATATTATCCCAACGTACATCATTTGTCGACTTTCTACTCGAAGAAGATCCATTTGATTATGAAATCGTCAACATAGACTGTAATTTGCTGACGGTCCCTCGGGTTTCCAAGGATGTTTTCTTGTAAGTAGTTTTTGAAGATTCAGAATACCCTCCAGACAAAATGACAGAGCGAGTTTCATCATAGACTTTATTAGGTTTCTCAAGAGATATTTGTTTATATATCTATAAAATATATAACACAAATGAACTTTTATAGGTTTAAAACTTAACCTAAAGTCTTAGGGCTATAACTTATATGTGATTATTATATTATTAATTCTATGCGATTTTTTATAATTTATCCAACTCCGGGAGGATTTCGAAACAAAAAACACCTTTGATCTAGGCTCACGTTAATAATATTAGGTACTTTAAATTTCATTTTCGGCTTCTGTATTGGTAACAAATTAAAAGACATGTTTTTCTTCAGGCCCATCGTGAAAAAGAGGAGTCCAAGACGATCAATTGTCAATGAAATGGAAAATAAATATAGACGTTAGAATTTCAGTAATTATTATGAAAGATTTTCATGTCCAAAAAGGCTTTGATTTTCGACAGAAGTTATGAAATAAAATAACCTATATCGAATAATCTAATTAGGATTACATTAAGTTTATGTAATTACTGTATTTAAATTAAGTACACGACTGACGAAGTGAAGGCCTCCTCTAAATTCTTCCATTTGTCTACAATTTTCCAATCTTTCCCCGATTTCTCTTTTATATCATCTTCCCCTGTTTCTGGTGGTCGTCCTTTTTTCTTCCCTCTGGGCCATTCGAATTATGGTTTTTTTCCACTTTAACTTTTTTGAGTGTGTTACAATGTCAGTTATTTTTTCGAACGAAGTTAGGGTGCTATATAACTGTTTAAATCACGTTAAAATATTAATTACTATTGAATTTTTTTGTTTATTTTTATCTCGTTTGTAGATTAAAGACACAAGTCTTATATAATAGTTATTATAATAATTTTAATATACCTCTATTTAAATTTTAGGCAGATCATCAATAAGAATTAATCAAAAAACTGAGAATAAAAAGAAATTTTCTGGTGAACCAAACGCCTTTATGATTGAACTATTTGGTTTACACCATGATATCGATGAGAGGTCAGTAGAAACTAACCAGAAGAAGATAAGAGGCAATCGCTATTTATGGTTTTAGTTTGCATACACCGCCGCGCGTGCAATTAAATAATACTAGTTAAATTTGCATATGTATGTAATCCAAAATCGATAAAAGTTCAATAAATATTAGTAATATAAAGCCAAATCGCAAATGACCATTTCCAAAAGCTCTTTATATTATGTGAAATAAATTAAGTCTCTTACATAATATCTCAGTGGGAAAGAGATTTAAAGTAAAACATATTTATAATGTTCCAGTCACGCCTTCGATTTACTAGAAGCCTCATTTGAAATTATGAAAGATTATGATTACTGTATTATAAGAAAGCCGTGTTCGGAAAAAAGCTTTCCATTATTACAACATTTTGCCGTAAGTTTTATCTATATATTTGGTGACCTCACAAAGATATAGGCTTATTTCGAAAATTTTGAGTTTGAGTTTGAATTTCGAATACAAAGAACTAAAATAAATTTATATGAAACGTACACGAGGTGACCTACTTAGATCACTTAACTTAAGCTTAAAATCAATAGTGATTCCATTATTGGATTTACATCACAGCTACTAATATTCATGTATACGTTATGAATACGTTATCGGAATCTTTGTTAGTGCGTGCCAATTTCAGCCATTAATCACTGAATACTACTTCTACTACATATTAAAACATTAAAGTTACTCAATATTTATGACATACATAAGATTTTAAATTGTTGCAGTTTGTTCCCACTAAGAATCAAGTGGCTTGTGAATATGCGTTATATATTGCTCACAGATGTTCTGTTTTAAGGTATATATTTATTACGGTAGTAGGTTGTACAATAAATATATTGTAATACAATAACACAGCCTCTATGGCTTTGTTGGTAGAGTTGAATCGTAATGAACTAATATAATTCTTATTTGACACGCGTAATTTACGAATATTATAATCTGTTTATCATCAAGATTTTTTGTGTTGCATATGTTGCGGTCACCTAATTAAGGTGTGAGTAGGAAATGAAACATAATCAGTAGCTGATATTATGAAGAACGACCGGGGCTACCAATTGTACGCCACTAGGGAATGCAATCCCGATCTCGCGAAATAAAGTGCAAGAAGTGCATAACCATATCTTCTAAATAAAAATATAGTATCACCAACCTTAATAAAAAATAATACAAAAAAAAATTAATAAAATAAACTAACTAAAAAGCTAATCTTACGGATTCATTAATAACGATGCAATACAAAAGAATAAGAAATACAAGTATTACAAAAGTCACGATTGATCATAATAGGATATGGTTAAGAATTGTTGAATGACGAAATGATGTAATGTATGATGATGAAAAAAAGATGGAATTTCAAAAAAGCATCTATTAGTGGAGCGTAACATATAGATGTTAGGACCTGAGAAGTTGAATTCATTTTTAAGATTAGAGGGAATTTTGGGATTGAATAGAATTAAGTATAGAAGTTGAAGATGAGCGTCACGTCTGAGTCGAATAAGTAGCCGAGCTGTACAGTGGTGCGAGCTGACGATAAACCAAATTCTTTATCGCTAAATAAATTCAAAGCTCTCGTTAAACGTAAATTAATCAATAAAGCTTTTTATAAATTTGACGAATACTTAAATGAGCCTAATCCTTGTATGACTCAAAACTTAGCGATTAAAAAGAGTGGCGGAGAGCTTCTTGCCAGTTCTTCTTGCCCGCTCTACGCCCTTGACTTGCGAACTGGTAGTAAATGTAAATTTAGAATTAATTTAATTTTTTTCTGACGTTCATACGTACTTGTTTACCTATATGAATAAAGTTATTTTGAGTTTGACGCATTTGGCTTAGGGCCTTTCAACTACCGGTGGAGTTATTAATTTGGGATGAAAGACAGAAGAATAATCTCCTAAAACTCAAAAATGTATTAGTCACGTGCCAAATAAGTCGTAATATTCATTATAGGTAATAGTACTCGCAATCGCTAACCTTATCAGTTGTCTACTTATTTTGTTTGCAAAATTTCTACTCATATATGCAATCTTTTTAAGGAACGTTTGAAAATCCTGAGCTGTCTTAGGTTTGTTAATGTGTATAATATAGTCGATTACCTCATATACCTATTGTATATTAACATTGTAGTAGATTGCGCGTACGACGGGCTGAAATAATAGACATACCGCAAATAGCGGAGTTGCTCTACAGTTTAGACGGCAAAGAGACGCTATGGTCGGTAGAAAATACAATTTTCAGGAGAAACGAACTAGAGGCATACGTGTTTCTAAGCAATGTTTCTGTTGTAGGCATTGGGATACTAGAGTAAGTATTTCTGTTATAAATTAATTATTATTACACTACACTACCATAGAGTAAAGATCGAGTGGAATTCGATCGAGATTAAAAGTAGTAAAGTCTGGAATCTTGTTTAACTTAGGGAGCGTTCAAGTATTATTACGTAACGCAATTTTTGGAGATTATTGACCCCCCCCCCATGTAACGCGCCGTAACGTTTTTCTGTACCCGAGTATAGTAAAACATTTCGTGACCACCTAGTGACTCATTATACCTAAAAGTTACCATTATGTGGTGTAAAGTACTGGAAATTAATAAAAACGCGTAATTAAATTCTCGCCCCGTATCGTAACGTTTTACAAAAGGACCCAAAAAAATCGTTAGGCAATACTTGAACGCTCCCTTATCCATGCAGAAATTTCATAAAAAATTGTGTAGTGATGTAAAAGAAATGCTAACTTATGTTTAAAAAAAATGTAAGCTTCAAATTTTTATTTGATATAAAAACTTATGCCTTTGGGATTTTTAGTAGCTGTGAATATAAGCCGTCCACCTAATGTCGATAGTTCAAAAGAATATGTAAAAATATTTCAGACCCCCGGATCAAATCGAATTTTTACGTAGCAAGTTCAACTTGGATGAGTACCGTGCTCACAGCCATCACGTGAAGGGACAGGGTCAAGGGGCAGGGTGTGGCACTCTTAATACGGCCCTTGTATACCCCGCTTTTGAACCACATTATAGGTAAGTTCCGAGTAAAGAAGAGGGTTAATTAACTTAGAATCCTTTAAAAAAAGGGTACTGATTCTGAAAAGGCCGGCAGCGAACTCGCGATCCCTCTGTATTTCCGAACCAATTCGACTTCACTCTCTCGACGACACTCACACTGCCAGAAGGCAAGTACGCTACCGGCCTTTTACGAATTGGTACGTTCTTATCTTGACTCTAAGTCGAATTGGTTCGGAAGTACTTCAATGGGCAGCTTCTTCCACAAAGTGGTATTGCGCGACAAAAAGTAAATATAATATATAAATATCGCTCAGTTGTGGAACGCCGGACGTCGAGGTGATACGTATGGAATTTCGTATAAAATTTGATATTTATGATGTAACTCAGCTGCAGGTATCATCCGAACTACTCCTCCTCTCTATTCTCAGCGTTTCCATAAAAATGCAATAAAACATAAGATATAACTAATAACTGTTGTAATTCTTGTAATAATTTTATTGTTACAGATTCTTCGTTAGAGATATGCTGCGGTTGTCGGGGATTCATTCTCTTGTGTGGATGACGGCTTATAGGAATAAATGGGTAAGAATTTCGTGAAATGTACTCAGATCTGTAATGTTATAATGAAACTTTATTTCTTAATTCTATGTTTAAAGTTAATTATTAAAATGCATTGCCATACTTGGTTATATGAAGACAGGTGTCCCAGGGTCCTTATGTAGTGACAACTGTATTTTCATTACTGAATCTCAATATATTTAAAATTCTCGTGTCACAATGTTCGTTCCCATACTCCTCCGAAACGGCTCGACCGATTCTTATGAAATTTTGCATGCATATTCAGTAAGTCTGAGAATCGGCTACTATCTATCTTTCAAACCCCTAAATGTTAAGGGTGGTCCAGCCCAATTTTTTTTTAATTTTCTCGTTTTTTTTTATGATAGAGCATACAAAAATACATACAATAATTTTCACCCCTCTACGATCAACTCCTATTTTTTATTATAGTAGATACTTATTTTTATTGAACTAAAAAAATGTTTCCTAGAAATAATATACATGGCAAAACAACGTTTGCCGGGTCAGCTAGTAATTTTATAAAAGTAATGATGCGATACGAGTAATTATTTATATTACTATCGTTATTAATAGAAAGAAAAGCGAAATATTAATTATTGTTCATTTATTTCAGGTAACACATAAAATAAATACGTTTGCGTCTGTAATGATCCCGTTGCGTCCGCGCATCTCGCATTTGGATTATGCACCAGTACCAGAATTGAATAAATTGCAAGCACTTTCTAATTCCTTGTAAGTGTCTTACAAAGCTTAATCTACAACATTTTGCTCTTCGCAGTGACGGAACTATACCAGGCCCGTGGCAAATCTTCTTTCGTGGCTATTCTTTTGATAAAAATCGTCCTTACTCAGATTAATTTTAATAAACATCGAGATTTTCAGAGTACTCAATTACACGTTGTATATGTCCTACTAATGGCCATAGGCCTCCTCTCTTAGGCAAGAGGGAATTGTCTTTAGTCCCCGCGCTAGCCCAATGCGTATTGGAGACTTCACATTCATCCATAGAACATAATAACTCTTGGGCAGGGGCCCTCTTGGGTCGGAGGCCCGTGGCATTTTGCCAGCCCTGCCATCCTATTGTTACACCACTGGCTCTTCGTTTACTATGCGTAATAAATACTTACCTGATTAAAAAACAAGCGTTTCATAAGTTGGGTATTTGGTAAATTAAAAAAATTATATTGACGCAGCTATATGTATTTTATATAGTTTTTAAGGCATTTTCTATCACCACTTGTATGTGGAACGTTGTTGTATTTCTTACCATTACGACTTAGCATAGAGTATGACAAAAGGACCGGCATTCCACTCGGGCCCTACTGACATAGTCATTAATTAATAGCTACCTATACAACCTATTTTTTAATTACAGGATGTCATTCAGCTGTTGGTACATCGGTGCCAGGCTGACCAGTGTTCCCAAAGTGACAGTGGATTGTAGATTGGTAGTCATCGGCGCCTCTACCACCGCAATGGCGTTTTTGAATACATTATTGTTCGGGTAATGCGTGAATATAATTATAGATAAGAATAAGGAATGGTAAATATGTATTATTATATATATGTCGCAGCCAACTAGCTTAATTAGCCGTTCAATTAACAGCCTGGTCTTTTAACTAAACGGCGCCGTTTAACAAGCGGCCTGAAAGATATTCAGCATTTGTTACAACATTTGTACGATAGAATAATTATTTGGCAGTAATAAAAAAGGTGAAACATATGTTATAAAAAATATTTCTTTTAAAATTAAATTGCTTGAGTCACATTATTATTGTTTCTATACTCTGCCATTGTACTTGTTGCTGTTCATGAAACTTTGGAAAACAACATCAAAGTTGTAGTTTGCCGACGCCATATTCACAGTTTGAAGAGTTTCGTTTCGGGTTTGAGAGTGGCAGAATGCGGAATTAAATTTAAATTAACAGTCAACAGGCTAGGCAAGTAACAACAACATCTTTCAGGCCGCTAGTTAAACGGCGCCGAATAGTTAAAAGGCTAGGCTGTTAATTGAACGGCTAATTAAGTTAGTTGGCTGTGACATATATACTAATTATATTTATATAAATAGTGTTTATTAAAATAGATTTATGAGGATATAGAGAAACGATGTTTGTTTGAGCGACTTTCTTCCAAATACGGCAAATTACAAGTTTTATGATACCACAGACGAACCACATAGTATGAATGAAAAATATTTTGTTTTTCAACTGTTAATTTTTTAAATACTACGTGTGAACACGAAACGACCACTTTGTTAATAGATAATAGATACCTAGGTATATAAAATTTCCAGGGACACCTCATCTTACATATTCTTCACAAACTTAACACTAATATCGCCCCACGGGTTGCCATACGTAAGAAATTCAAACTCGCTCGCCGAAATGATGTTTCTAAAGGATCACTACAATTCGGAGAAATATTTAAAGAGTGTACCGTACACATATTACGTAAACACTATACACGGTACTGTGGTGGAAATTCACAAGTATGTATTTATGTAAATGAAAGTCCTGTATTCTTTTCTCAGTAACTCTTTATTATTATACTAGCAGACCGGCCAAGCGTTGCTGTGGCTAAGGTTTTAGTTATATTACATAGTAGTAACCTATTCAAGGGAAACGGTAGAAGAACACCAGTCATGGGGACCACCATGCTTTTTTGGTGGTAATGCCATTAAATTGTAGCTTATTTGAAACGTTGGTTACTCTAAACAATTCATAAGGTTTTTTGGACTAAAACTTCCACCCTATTAAATTGCCACCGTTTCTTGACCCAAAACCCTTCACACGATCTCGCTAAGTATTTTTCACATTCCACTAAATATCCTCCTAAACACCCCCCACCCCCCATCGAAGTTAAAGGTGATGAAAGAATGAAACGAGGTAATTTAGCTTTATATATTATAGAATATATTTGCATAATTTTAAGAAATAAACTCAAAATCTATCGAGACATTCTTTCATCATTAAAATGCTTATCTCTTAGTAGACTTTATTTTTCCAAAATATAAAAAAAGTTCCAGCCTTGCGAAGCGTTGGGCTAGCTAGTCGTAACTTAAAATTGTCAGACAAAGAAAACTATCACCTACTTGATTATAAAACAATAAACCAGATTGCTCTGGATAATTGTTATAACAATTGTGTATTGATTTCATGAAAAGAGACTACTCTATCGAAATTAGTACTTAATTATTTGAATAACATTGAGTTGTGTTACAGAAGGCAGAAATATGTGTTGTTGTCAAACGGTAGCAGGTGTTACTACGATCGGTTGTTCTTACTATGCGGCATTCAGTACCAACTTCCCGATTATTTAAAAATACACCAGCCTAATAGGTTAGTTACACATTCACATTCAAAATTACTAGTAAATCGCAGTAGAAAAGATCGACAATACCTATATCAATAGCTAAGTATATCAAGACGTAACTTTCAACTTGTTTGAGAAAATTTTTGTAATTTGTTTGTTGTTATTTTTTAAATGACAATAGACTTTTCCGTACTTCTGTTTATTTATCCGCAGTGATAATTATATAAATAATCTAACTCTATCAATTGTTTCAATAAACTATTAGAGTGCAGAAACAGAACTGTCGTGGCGGGTATGTGAGTAGAGTCTGGACTGTGTAGTTTTTTCAAGTATCAAGATCATTACTGTCGAACTATAATGACTGAAAGCATTTTAAACTTAACAGTTATACGTAATTTTAAATAACGATTTAACACTACTGCCACGTGAAATCCCATTACAGTCTTCTTTGCACCGCTTTGAACCGATATTTTGAAGTGAGCATTGTAGTAACGTGCAGTACGAACGTTTAATTCTATTGTAATGATTCTAAATTGATCGAGCTTTTCATAGTGTTTTAAAGAGTTTTGTGTTAATTCACAAATCGTGCAAATTTTGTTCAACTTAGTATTATAAAAACCATAAATTTCAAATAGGAAATTATTAGATTATTAAATTAGATTTATAACTATGTTACAACTCCAATTAAAAAACAAATTATTTAGACACATTCAGGTACGAATAGTTCGAATTCTAGGTACGAAAGGTTCGAGTTCTATGTACGAAACTTGGAGGTCTTTCTTAATATTTTTCAGAAGTGACATTAAGTACAGTCGTCTAGACGTGCCTCATGGTCTGAAAAAGCCATCCCTATCATTGCTTCCTTCTAATGTCTTCGTAGTTAACAATGTATCGGACGCAAACAAGGCACTCAACTATTTAAAATCTATTGACTGGGAAGAGACTGAAGGTATAACTTTGTTTTCTTGTAGCGCCGCCTCCTTCACTCTTTGCCACTTTTTTTTTTCAAAGCTCCAATGGAAATAGAATAGAATAGAAATATGTTTATTTCCCTAGTTCTTAATATGTTACATTATGTCCACAGGTCGATGGTGTATTCGGCCTGTGGGTGTGTCAGCTACTTACAGACTACATATGTTTGTCTCAGAGAGATCTATATAAGTGTCGTGCAGTGTGTGCTGTGAGCTTGTTAAATTGTACAGAATAAATTTATAATGTTGTTATATATTGTCTTATCCTACTTACAGCTAATTATAATCTATGGGGACGCGGAGCGGTCGTTCGCTTGCTGAGCAGCCGACTCCTGTCTTTTTTTGATACATAATCTATTTCACCTAATCTAGTATTAGTTAGTAGGGGGTTGTGCTGTCCGTATCCGAGGTAGGCTCCACCAGGGGTCTCTAGATCCTCGATGTGCATCTCACGGAGTCGACGCAGCATATCCTCGTTTAGGTCTTGTGCACGGAGATGCCATGGATCCCAATCTAGCATATCCCAGAGTATCGAGGTTTCTAGGCGTCTTGGGAATTGTCCGCTGGTTTTGAGAGCCATTCGATATTGGCGTTCAATTTTTAGTAAATTGCTCTTACTGTAGCGTGAGAGCAATTGTACTACGCCATAATCCAAAATAGGAAGTAGGCAGGCCTGTATTACTGCAAGTTTAACAGTCATATCCGTTTTGGCGTGCCATCCTATGATAGGGGCCAGTGCACCACGAGCCCGTCGCGCCTTCTGCACGACATGATCCGTCTGTTTGCCCATGCTCATTGTCTTGTCGAAGTGTACGCCCAGATATTTGATGCTTCTTTTATATTCAATTATGTCCTCTTTAATTCGGATGGTTCTGCGGTACTTTCTCTTGTGAGTGAACATAGCACACTCCGTTTTGTCCACGTTACATTTTAACCCCCAGCGACGGTAGTAGTCGATGACAGTGTCGGCGGCCCAGCCCGCGCGTTGTGTCGCGGAGTTTGGGTCGGGAGACCTGTTAAGGATGCACAGATCATCGGCGTATTGGGAGAGCTTGAGTCCGCTGATACGGTCCCGTGGGTCCCAGACGTCGTTTACGTACAGATTGAAAAGGACCGGACCCAGAATAGAGCCCTGGGGAACCCCGTATGGTACCGGTTTTTTGTCACTGTAAGTGGTTCTGAAGCGTCCGTAGGTTTTGCGACCGTTAAGGTAATTCTCTATTATTTTGATGATGTTGTTCGGGACGTCAGCTATTTGGAGTTTCTTTGCTAGACCTTCGTGGTTTATTGAGTCAAAGGCCTTCGAAAGATCTGTCAGGACCATGCTTACACTTTCTCTCGCTTCCAGCGCGTCCGTAATGAACTTTCCAGTGCGAAGGATCTGTGTGCCTGTTCCTCTGTTCTTGGTAAAGCCATGTTGGAACGGCGGTTGTAGTCTGTCGGCCGTCTGTCGCAAGCGCGACAAGAGTAGGCGTTCGTGTAGTTTACCCATGATGTTTAGAAGAGTGATGGGTCGGTACGATTTGGCGTCACGGTGATTCTTGCCTACTTTGTGAAGGAAGCTATACTCCCCGATTTTCCATCTCTTGGGATAATAACCTGTCAGTAACAGGTAGTCAGCTATCACTTTGTACCTGGTGAGGAAAGAATTGCCACCGAGTTTGAGGGCGTCTGCTTTGATTTTGTCTGGGCCAGGCGCCTTCTTATTCTTAAAGCGTCTCAGCGCGAATTTGATTTCCTCTATGGAGGTAGGATCGAGAGGCTGGAACGGTGTGGTCTTCTCTGTGCTTCTATCTTCGTTGTTTATTTCAGCTTCGGTGACGATCGCCGCGTCAACCAGGGCGTCGATGGTTTCTTTCTCACTGTTGCAACCCTCAATGTGAGGGAGTCTCTGTACTGGAGCCTTTAGGTTGCGTTGAATACGCCACATCTGGGTTCTGTTGTTTTGTGGATCATTTATTATCCGGGTCCATTTTTCGCTGCTATATTCCACGAGCGCCTGTTGGACCTGGCGTTTCAAACTATTGTAGATTCTTTTTTGTTCCGTTATTCTGTTATGGTTGAAACGCAGTCGCCATGCTTTACGTTTAGCTTGGTTTCTTTTGGCAATTAATTCATTAATCTCTTCTGGAAGTTGACCTCTTCTGTTGTTTTCATGTAGTGGCGCATACTCATCCAAAGTTTCTGTGATGGCTTCTTCTAGTTTGAGTATATATAATTCGCATTGTGCGTCGGTTATGATTTCTTTTGGTAGGTGCGTTGTTTTATTCCAAAGGGTTTGTTGGAATTGTTGTCTGATTTCTTCATTGTTTGCAATAGCGCGAGTATTTCTTACCAGTGTTTTCTCTCTGTCCACTACTATGCTTAGGTCTAGTAGCCAGGGCATATGATCGGAGCCAACCGGTGTTATTTGTCGGCATGTTATGGTGTCAAAAGCTTGCGCATCGTGTGAAAAGATGGCTGCATCGAGGATGCCATAGCCCGCACTGTTTGGTCGCGAGGGTAGGCAAGTGTGGTGTATGGTGCAGACGTCGGATTTACAGAGGTCGCGGACTAGTATTCCCGCCCCTTCGTCTCTCGTCTGGTTGAGTGCGGTCATTTTAAGGTTGAGATCCCCTATGGTGATATTTGGAGCTTCGGTTATAATGTCTTCTAGCTCATCATTAAGCGTTGCAGTATCGAGGTGCTCTGATCTGTGCGGTATGTATATCCCCTTAATTTTCAGGGAATCTCCGGTCAAGTGATCATAAGTGAGGTTGATAGCGACGCCTTCGATGAGGCGGTCTCTTTCTTCAGTACCTGGGGTTACGTCGGTCTGACTCCAGCGTAGTCCTCGCATCACGTACATGGCTGTAGTTAGATGCGACGCGATCGAGTGCGTAATCTTATCGTAGTTCATAAGATTCATGTGGATTTTGGTAAAATCCACCCGACATTCGTTCACTACGATTATGTGAGGTTTGTAACGGCCAGCTAAGGATTTTAGCTCGAGGAATTTACCTTTTAGCCCTTGCGCATTAAGGTGCAATATGCGCAACTTATGATATTGATTCCTTGGATTATTTGTTGAGAATTTTTACTAAGATTTCATGTTGGAGCTGAAGCTGGTGTAATATTTGTTTCATGGTTATTTGTAGCTCTTGCTCTAGCGGTTTCATGCTGGTTTCTTTGTTTTTTATGTGTTCATTTAGTTGCATTGTTGGCTGGTTCTGTGATTGTGATTGGGGCGTTTGTTTGGGGAGCGGTGGAAATTGTGAATTTGAGGTTATGTTCATATACGAAACGTTTTCCTGTCGGTATTTCAGTGCTGCGTATCTGCATTCTGCTGCATCTCTTTTTCCTTTCTTTTTCTTCGTGTTGTGCCAGTTGACGGTTCACTGCCTTCTGGAACTTTTCGCATTTGGCTTGGTTGGCCCCATGGCCTGGTTTTTTGCATGCTGTGCATATTTCTATGTCTATGCCTTCTTCGTTTTGAATTATGAAGGTGGGGTGTTTCTTCTCACCGTGACACGCCGATGTCGCATGCGTGAAGAGGAAACATTTCTTACATTGTACTACTCTCCTGGGGTCGTCTTTGTATTCTTGAGGTTTCATGCTGAAGGCTCCAAAGTACGCATGCTTTGTTGTCTTCATAAGCGTGGCGATTTCATCGTATGTGTGGGCACCATCAAAGATAAATAATTGTAGGTTACCCTTAATTGTTCTCATTTTGATCGGTCTCACACCAATGCACCTCTCCATTTCCTCTAGGCATGAGTAATTCGTCTCATCGTAGATGTTCGTGATGAGCACAACCTTTGTCTGATGGGTCTGCTGGGCTTTGGGGACGCGTGCCACGAAGCGGAGCCCGCCGTCAAGTTTACTTAACTCTTCTATAATTATTTTCCTTGTGTCCGCAGTGTAAACGCGGATTGTGATGGTCCTCTTGTTACCAGCCATAGCGTATCTTGCTCCATGCTCTGTGGTTATTTTTCTAATTTTATTAAGGTATTCCGGATCGTTAATTTTCTTGACATCTGTTATGATTATGTCGGGGATGTGAGTGGATGATGTGATCACTCTCGGTTGTCGCTGGGTCGCTGTCAAGTTGGGAGTAACGGCACCTCTCTTTCTCTTCTTGCGTTTGGGTGAGGTGAATGACGCATGGTCATTTTCTCTTTCGATTTCGTCTTTGTTCTCCTCTTCGGTGGAGAGCGAGGAAAAACGGTTGCTTGTTGTTATGCTGGGCTTCGAGTTGGTGGTCGGGCTGGCGGCGCGCACCCGCGCAGTCGCGTGGCCAAACTGAGTCGAGGGGTCAGCGAAAGGCGGTATCGATACGGTCATGTCTTCGCGCGCAACGAGGGTGACATTGCCAGATCCCGTGACAACGTTCGCTTCCTTAGTTTTCGTTTTCGTGGCACCAGTGGTTAATCTTCCGGGCGCCGTCTCAGAAATCGCGCCACCAAATGCGTAACGCGGTTTCCGGCGAGAAGGGTGGTCCGACCCACACAACGATGGCTCAGCCCTTGTACTTCGGGTCCTGGGTACCTCTCTATGGTTCGATACTATTTTGTTCACTGTACCGCATTCACAGGTCACGTTCTCTTCACTTTCAAGACCTATAATTGGCATGTACTTAACATTTAACTGCCCGTTGCACTTGCGGCAGTCTGTTTTATTTATTTTGCAGAAATTTATATTACACGAATATATATTTATTTCATTTACGCTGTTCACTAGGTGTCCGTTTGAAATATTTACTGAAGTTTTTATAACACATTTCACGGCACTTCTCTTGTTACAAAATCTACAAGTTAATGTTTTAATCTTACTTTGGAGTCCTTGCCACTCATGGAATTTTTTAATTAGGTTAATTTTTGCGCAGTGCCAACAAGTAACTGCGTATTGTCCTTCTTTGTCCGGGGAAAGTTCACTTACACTAGCTAATTTATAGTAACTGTTGTTTTTATTATTGACAGTTGCACTGTTCGTGTCCATTTCACTATTTTCTGGAGGGCCCAAAGGGCCTCCCGAAATATCCACATTCATATAAACGCGAACTAATGTGGGTAATTTATAAAAATATTGAGTTACTCGAGACGCGGAGCGCGAGTGAGCTCCGCGCGCACGTCCGCTCGTCACGGCTACTGCCGGCTACCGGCTACCTATATGGGCACAAGTGTGCTTGCACATTCTTTCACATAACTCTCTTACTTCGATACTTTGAATGTCCAACACGATCGCAATATCACGAAGGTGCAGGACATATTATATTGACTGGGAAGAGACTGAAGGTATAACTTTGTTTTCTTGTAGCGCCGCCTCCTTCACTCTTTGCCACTTTTTTTTTTCAAAGCTCCAATGGAAATAATACTGATAATCTTCTTATGTTTGAAAGGCTGTGTTTCTTGAACACTTTCCTCGTTTTTATCACTAAGCGTACTTCTAAACTTTGGGCGTTTACTTTCAAAATTAGTTCCTTTTTTGCCACACGCCAACTATTGACCGTGTACTAGTGGTATTTTGTGTGCGTTCGTCTTTGACATAACATTTGAATAAAAATTAATATCACATATATTGCTTGGCCATTATTCCGTATTACCACTGTATTTTTTAAGAATCAATGTATATAAATAGTTAATAAAACACACAATTTTTTATTGAATTAGATCAATACATTAGGTAAATACACATATTTCACTGATCTGATTATTCGCATCCTGTTTTACTGGGATAAGAGTTCAGCATCGCTAAAAGTCAACTGCCTGGTAAAGCTAAATAGCTTAATATATACAAAATAAGATAAATTTAATAATTGAAACCGCTTTATTTAAAGCGGTTTCAATTATTAAATTTATTTCCTATAGTTCGGTGCCTAAGTGCGTTTATAATTTATTGTGGCCATATTTTTAAGATTGTAAATTTCATAGGAAAAATACTAGTATATGGAGCATCGATTCATGCATATTGTTGTCTTGCGACGTTACTGGAGATGAAAATTTCACCAGAACTGATCGTATATATAGAACCTTTTCCGGACGAATGTGAAGGTTCTCGAGTGTCGCCCTTTTGTAATATTTATGTAAGTACGATATACTTAATCAAACTCCAGAGTGTGAATAAAGAGTGGAGGAGAGTTTTTTTCCAGTTCTTCTCGCTCTACGCTTTTGATTTGGTAAGTGGTAGTAACGTCCATATGTACATGAACATGAACAAACGGTTCTATCTCACTCGCGCACAACGAACATAGCTGCGGACAATGTTGCCATTGTAAAAAAAAAAAATTATATAATCTTCCCAACAGAGTTAATAGGTACTTATAAATCCTACCATCAAACCGTCAATATATAGCTATATTTTTATTCTTGCATATACAATTTACCCTTTTATTTCAAAGGTTGACAAAACAATGTGTAAAGTTCTCGAACGTTTGAAAATAAAGGTATACCGTTCATATTACTTTCAAAACTGGAGTTTGGATAGCGAAAATGCCATAACTCACGTTCAAATTATGTCGCATTTTGAATTGTTAAGCTTAGAATGCGCTGCGTTTTTCTATTACGGCAAACGAGGTGTAAACGAACAAATATTTATGGGTAAGTTATTACGAGTCTTTATTATCGTCATAATATATTAAATTCAGCCTTCTTTCACGTACTTAATTAATGTAAAAAAAATAGTATTTCATAATAAAGGATTTTGATTACCTGCCAAAACTCTTTACATAGTCATCTGGAGAAGTGTGTACGATACTCTATCTCAAAAATTATTGAACTGGTTTCAACAAACTTAGTTTTACCTAATATAGCTATTTAAAGCAAATGTTTAATTTCCGAGAAATTTGTGGACAAACATTCATACTATACTTTAGCACATGTGGAAAGAACACCTGGAAGCCTGCCATCCTGAAATATTATCAAATTCTAAAAACCCTAAATACATTAATACCCTTTTTTGAATGATGTCGGTTAATAAGCGACAGAACTGTGAGATTATTACAATGATGTAATTTAAATTAAATACTAGATTTTTTACTATTGGCAAAGACAATAAAGTAACTTTTTTTAATTGTCTTTGCTTTTACACATCAGACTTTCCTATTATTATTGAATTCATATTTTAATCTCTATCTGATGAATCTAAAATTTTAAGCATACGATCACAAACTATCTGAATTTGCAGCATCTAGTGATGTTTTATTTATTAGCGGTTCATATGGCTGGTATGGGGTACAGCGGTGGGTTGCTGGTGGACCACCAGTTCAAGAGTAGCGCACCTCTTGTTTATGCTGCGGGACCTCTCGCGCAACACCGATATAGCTACCACGACAGCTATGAGACTGGATTCTATGTATGTCTCTTTCCTAACATAGTTCTAGTGTCTATGCCTACGAAACTTAGTAGCATTTATTTATATAAGAATGCAAGGATATACCTACATAATTTGTTTATGTATTTTAAAATGCTTAATTTCATATACAATAATTATCCGTGTTAATGATCAGCGGATCTTTCTTATTAATAACGGTAGGTATTGTAAAGCACATAAATCGTTATTCAATTTTAGAATTCCTAGCACTTTATTATCTACTGGACTAATATGAATTCAATTATAATTAAATATAAATTATTTTTATAGCTAGGAAAACTTATAAGAAATGAACTGGACCCACTGTTTACTGAACAAAGCAAGCCTAGAAACAATGGGACTGGCAAAGAAAATGTTGACGTCAATACGTCATGTAATGGAAATGGCGTTGAGGATGATACGTGAGCATTTAAGGTTTCATGTAAATAGCGAAGAATTAGTGTATCGTGTACTAATACTTGCTAAGGTTTTAAAATCTTAATTTCTGGTACATTTTCTAATTCAAGACTTAATTCCTAAAAAAGTATGCATGATTCAGAGTCAATACTTGTTACTACTTGTCATTTGTCAATAGTTTGTTTAAAAGTACAAACTAAGTAAGTACGACGTTTGTACTTTTAAATTTAAAACAAATCTACGATTTTGGCATTATCCTACTCTATATAACGTAATTTTTGATTATCGTAGTAAGCAAGAAACTTGATAGTCACTGACCACAACTGCTGTGATCTGCATTTGAAACCTCAAGTTCGTATACAAATATAAAATATAAAAATTTATTGAGCGGTTTATTAATTTTTAGACAACAAGAAAGAGGACAGAGTATACCAGAATTGAAGAGGCCCATCGTACAATGTTGTTATTTGCCGGGAGGGTTACAGTATTTAGAAGTTCGACCGCCCGGAATCAAAGTCCCGCACCATTATGTACAAACTTTAGAGTATAATGTTAGTATTCTTTACACTATTACGAAACCTCCAAACTATTTTTTTTGCATGCACCGAAATTCGACATGTCGCCATAAGGCATCTCGTACGTTCATGTAGTGTAAATAATTTTTTTTTTTGAAAGGCCGGCAACGCATTTGCGAGCCTTCTAGCAATGTAAGTGTCCATGTATCACTTAACAACAGATGAGCCTCCTGCCCGTTTGCCCCGTATTCCATAAAAAAAAAGAAAGTCTAGTCAGTTCATTTGCTGAGGAAATGCAAAACAATACACGTTGAATTGATAATCTCATTCGGGTTTGAAAAGATTGATTCTTCTCATCGTTACCTGACTAACTCCATGAAATAAAATTCGCGGCGATAAGGCAGAACAAAACGTTGTTTTACAGAAAATATATTTATATTGAGATCCAGTTCATAAAAGTTCTTTACAATATCGAAGTTTTTGTCAGAAATTAACAGTCTGAATAAAAGAGAGTGGTCGCTATGAATAATGTGCTAAATGTCATGCCGTGCACGTCTACGAATAGTGTCATATACTTAGTGTTGCTATTATATATTAATTTAGCCCTTTATTTAATTGGTTGGGCTTTAATTGGTATCTATGAATATTAAAATAATTTGTTTTTATTGGACGAGATTGTATAGTTGAAGGTTCGATTTTTATGAAGTAATTTTATTTTCAGGGTTTTGTAATAGAAACATTCAAAGGGGGATATTTTAAATTGCACTTCAATAAAGATCTGATAGTAGACGGAATTACATGTCTTACGCCAGATAAGTACTCGTTGGAGAATTTTAAAAAACTATATGGATTATCCAGTTCTATACTTAGTAATGTGCATTTGAGATACACGGTAAAATAATTTTCATTACTGTAAGCCTTATATAGCTATTTGTTTTTTTTCTTACTCATAGCATCTTGAATATAAATAAAAGGGACTAAACATTTTTAGCTAGTTAAGACTTTACTTTTATGAATAACACATTATTTTAGATATGCAGGGTCAGTTTCTTTCGTAATTAAAATTCCGTTTTTTTAAATTAATTATTGAACACCTATACTTTGGCTTGAGAAGTCTTGCTATTACATGATTTAGCGAATTGCAATTGCGTTTACATTTATGTTTTTATAATACACAAAAATAATGTTTATCCGTTTCCAGACATTTGCAAACAACGTTTGCCAAATAGTTTGGTGGTTTAATTTGTTTTTTTCAATTTACAGACAAAAAGACTAGACAATTTATACGATTTCTTCCGTGAGCCGTGGGCGCATTTCTTGTACCATGACCACGTAGAAGAGCTTTTCGCAATTGTCAAGGAACTACTGCCAACGGTATTATCTCCACTCATAGTCCCCCTAATGGAGGATACAACAAATATATTTTTTTTAAAATTTAGACTAATGAATTTAAAAATTCGTGGAAACACCATATAGGGAAATATAATATTGAAGCACTTGTAGCGTCTTACCACTTTTATATTAAATGAAAATTATATTAAAATTTATTTAACAGTAATACTGAAAAGCCACCGGCTCGCTCATACTCATACTTTTTGTACGCAGTGTGTACGATTTTAGCCCGTAAAATACGTTCCTTTTCAAAATATCTCTGTGTGTATTACTGACAATTTCGTAAGCGATGAAATAGGGTCCATTATCCACTCGAGGCTAATCCTATAATTTTCCTGAATCCAAGAGCGGTCGCTATGAATAATGATGCCAATGTGTCATGCCGAGTGCGCTAATGACTAGTAGATAAGCACATAGTTGAGAAAGTTGCTTATGTGAAGACATAAAAAGATTCAAGCTCCTTATTTAATCACTCGGCACACTACTTACAAGTCTTTAAATGTTGCTTACTGATTTTCATATGAACTAACCCTAATTCGAATGTTGATAATAGAAAATCCAGATATTATACAGCAAGATACTTAAATTTAAGATCTGATAGTCAGCTTATTGTTACAGTATAAAATTTTAGTAGCTCTTGGAGAATTATGAAATTACTTTTGGTAATCTAGATTTACTGAATTTTGATTTGAATTCTAATTAACTCTAGATTGAAGATTAATTTACTGGGAATTATGTTTACAGGTTTGCCACCACATGGCGAGACAATAAAGTTATGTTCTTAAAGCAGCGTTGAATAAATTACGTACATGGTGAGCGAATTATTATATTAGGTCCTTACATATGAAATTGGCGTATTGCGTACTCAGCCACTTTAATCACGATGTTCTCCTTTTTTGTAAGGAATTCCAAATTAATATTTGTACAGCTATTTACTCATGTTTTGTGCTTCGATAGACCGTCATTCATTTGTTTTTTTCTTTTTTTTTTCTGTTTTCACTCATTTTACAAAATGGAAAACTTAAAGTATCGCATTGCATTTGAAACAAGATACGAAGTTCCGCCGTGGCAACTAGTGCTGTGGAAACGAATTGAAGGTTGAATATTTTGGCGGTCATGTTGCAGCAAAAGAAAACAATTTTACGTTTTCGTTCCTGAGAAATTTCGACCTGCAGAACAAGCCCACGTGGACGGCCTGAGACCCAAGTTGATAATGAAGTATTGCAAGGCTATTGTGGAAGCGGATCCATCGCAAAGTCCACGTGGGGAGGAACAATTAGCTGCAGGCTGCACGGTAATAGTGATAAAATCCGCAGTTTTAAATTTCACTTGAAGCAACATTGGGAAGATTGATAACCGTTAAAGATGGGGTACCTCACGAATAGACTGTAGCAAACCGGCAAACGCGAGTCGATCTGCTCGTTTAGAATCCTACTGAACCGGCACAATAATGAAGGTATTTTTAAACCGATTCATTACATTCCTGATGACAAATGGATTCTTTACGTATAATCAGAAACGCTCAGCGCAATGGGTTGATGGCCAGCCAGCCATATCCTGCCCCAACGACAATTAAACCCAAAAAAGTTACTTAAGCGTTTGGTGGACTAGTGCCGGTATTGTTCATTGCAGTATTTTCAAATACTGGCCAGACTATTACGGCTGACTGTCTATTGTCACAATTGCAAACCATGATGGAAAAGCTGGCGGCTAAACAATCTAGGCTGGTCAATTACGTTCCCTCGCTCACTGCTATTTCACGTGTGCAACGCTAGACCACATACTGCACAACAGACGGCTGTCCAAATTAGAAGAGCTTCAATTGGAATGTTTATGTCATCCTCCGTACTCCCGGACCTTGGTGGGTAATGCCCAACAGATTACTAATTTTTCGATAAATTTGTTGACAAAGTCTTGCAAGACCAGAAAAAATTAAACTCTCATGGGGCAGTCCAAATCGCCTTTACAGATTTTATTGATTCCCGTCCGACTTTTTTTTTTAGGTAAAGGGGTCAATTGGAATTCTCCTAACTCGAGATGGAAAAGTAATGCTATAGGGAACAATGGTTCATACTAGGACCAATTAAATGGCGATATAATATTTAAAAAAATTCGAACTTTTTGTTCCGTCCCATACAAAACGCCAATTTCATCTGTAAGGACCTATTATATTTAGAATGTAGTTCGTTCGAAGTGTTTAAATTTAGGAAATAAAATATGTGATAGTTCGACCACACACTTATTAGTTGTGCGATACAATACAAAATAATTTTTCGTATTTGGATTTAGTCTTTTTGCCTGGAGATTGTTAGGTTTCGATTTGAAACATTAATTCATTTATATTGTCCTGAAGTTAGTCTAAGTAAAAAAAAATTGGGACTACAATTCTACAAGTGACTTCTTAGTTAATGTATATAATGCGCCAACTTTTGCCAACTATACCTGCGCCAGTATTCTGTAACTCCCAATAACGACTGCAATGTGAGCTTTAGTACCCCGCGATCCCAAGGTTACGGTTATTAAGAGAACTAAATCGAAATTGCATACAAAAATGTGAATCATTTTCATCATCATCAATCATTATTACAGACTAACGCTTGTTAAGCAACTGGGCCAAGACTTGTTATAAAAAGAATTTTCAATCAAAGTTTAGAGATTACTTTTGTGAATATTTATAATTCTTCTCACCAGGCACATTCATACAACATGAAGATGAAGATCCGATCCAGTTTTGAAAAATCCCCACACATAGAGGCGATCACCCAATACGTGATACAGTGGGTGTCAGAAAATAACGTCCTATTACCGATGTATCTACAACCATCTGAAAGATCGGCGTATGCGCACGACTTGGACAAACACCCGGCTTTTAAAAGGAGGAAGCGAAGTATTGTCAAAATGTTGGCGAAGATCTGTTAATATCTGTGAAATTAAAATAAACATTCCTAAACTAATTAATATTATTTTACGTACATTTGTTTACTCTTTAGATGATTGGGGCGGTAATGAAATTCGAACTTGCTAACGGCCGCTCTCTATACTCAATCCCAATCCAATTCTTACTACTAGCGATTGATATTTCAATCCATTTGACATAAACTTTTCTTCAATAACCGATCGAAGGATCAATCTGTTTTTGTAAACCATCTTTGGGACGACCGATCGGTATTTTTGGATTGATATATTTTGTATGACAGATCGACTCTTTCTATAAAATATCTTGAATTCGACAGATCTAATTTCCCACTTGACCGATTCACGATTGCTTATAGAAAGCGGCCGTTAAAGTCATATTGCTTAAATATGTATGAGATTTCTATACTAAGGTCTAGAGGGAACTGGCCTTACAATGAAGTAAATAAGACGTTTTTCAACTTCATATAGAGACAAGAGAGCCTTATTACGGCAACTTGCACAACCGGAACAATAAACGTGTTTTGGAAGCGCTACTGTTTCCTAATCCCCGTGAAAGAATTACATTTATTTAAACATAGATTTGAGAATTAGATTAATTCAGAAGCAAACTAATTAATTAAATAAGAAAACTAATTGCAGATAATAAAAATAACAGTCCTTTAATCTGTTTAAAAGTCAATATATTCGATAGTATTTTTGTCAAATGTCAATAATTCTTGTTGTCTAATTAAATGTTTTTACGCATTGTACGGGTTTGTTTAAGATTTTTATGATTTAAAATTTAATAATGGCGCAACCTCGTAAACCGTTGCAGTTAAACGAATTACTATTACAAAATGTTAATACTTGGGGTAACGTGCAGTACAACATTCCATTGCGGTTATCTAGTAATGAAACGCGGACATCAGCAAGTATCGCCCACCGGCATATACCGCCGATACCGCATAGCTTGGACTGTGTTAGTACCCTTTTACCTCCTTTTACTAACTAAAGTAGATTAGAATTTGTAGGCATGTTCAATAATCTACCTGTTCATACGGTTACGATTTAGAAATCCGTCGCCTGAATTTGATGATACTGATACTATTAACAGTTATTTAAATAAAATATTTATATACTAACCTAACCAAACAATAAATATTAATAGTATCAGTATCATCAAATTCGGGCGACGGATTTCTAAATCGTAATACCAGAATTTTTGGCGCGGTGGCGTTAATACGTAAGTACCTTATTTTTTTTTTTGGAATTCATTACTCCAACTGTTCCACAAAGCCATAATGCAACACATGTATTTTTTGGCGTTAAACTTTCAAAATAGACCCCGCCAATTGTTTTGTAAATTAACTGCCATTTACGGTATGAGTGAACGAAAATTAGTATACATTTATCCGTATTTAATTGGACAATCAATTCACTTTTCGTTTTTGTTGAATTATTAATCATACTGCTGCTGCTTGCTGTTTTTTTTCTTTTTAATCGTATTTTTTTTAGAAAATAGACGATCCACTCCCAGAACGCGTGACGGGGCGTGATATGGTCGTGGAAAAGGAATCTTATAGAACGACAACAGGAGAATACTGCGTGAAGCCGAACCCGAATAAAGCAATGGAGCGGTCCGACTGCGCCATCAACTGTCGTAGGGTCATTTTCATGACTGGAGTTGAGAAACGGGTAATATTATTATTTATATGTTATAAGTATTAGTTCGTATGTTATTATGTTAGTCGGGATCGCTAGTAATATAGCTATTGGAAATCATTAAGAACCAGCAGTGCTATTCATAGTTCCGTCAACGTATTGGATCTTAACATTCTAGTCTCACGCTAGGAGCGTGATGCTCTGATCATTAATTTATTTTTCGTTAGGCTGTACAATTATCAATTTTAATAGGATTCATTACACGTAACAAAGCATTATTTCGCACAGGATCGGTTCGAAGACCACTATTGGATTTATTAAGCATGGCCAACTGTAAAGTCGGCATTTCATTGGTGATATTAGTACAAGTATGACATACGAATTACACTGATCTGTGATATAGCTCTTGCGTCTCTCTAGATACAAGCCAAGAGTATCATTCAACCTATCATGATATCGGAGATGAAGGACAACTTCCGTGGCCTGACTTCCACACCAACTGCTCCACCTGAACTGACAGTCAAGGCGCCGGACCCTGAGTACATTTTTGATGTAAGGTTCAAAATCTTATAAAATAACAATTTTTATAATAAATAATAATAATAAAGCCACTTTAATTCCATACTATAAAAATTACCAATCATATGGGCCTCAGTTCTGTTATTCTATACACTTAGGGTCTGTTTCACGATGTACGGATAAATTATACATAAGTTCCAAATTAGATATTTATTATATTATTATAATTGTTTCACGACTGTCAAATAGCTCTTTTCATCACATAAAGTCCATCATAAGTTATGAGTCCGATGAAGTGACAAATAGCACAATCTATCTTCCAAATAATTTAAGTGTTGCATAGCTATTTGGTACTTTATCCATACATTGTGAAACAGCCCCATCACTTTTTTAAGCAGTATGGGCCCCTCTTGGGTAAAGGCCTGGCAAAAAATAACAGTAATAATAATAATCTAGAGGAATCACAATTTAAAGAGCAAGTTGAGACGTTACGTTTGACTGTGATTCGTCGCATCGTGTCTAAAAGTATTGAACGGAGCGTACCATCGTTTCGTCGTTGCTTTACATACTCGCCCCCTCAGCCTTCGGTGCGTCACACACGTTTATGTTCTAATAAATACCGGTTTCCTTACTATGTTTTGTTCACGGTTTGGAAAGATGTCAATTGCGCACATATCCGAAATTTGAAAGCACGATCTCAGACTATTAGCTTTTTAGATTACTGTTGAAAATTATGTATGAACAAATGATGTATTAAACGAAATATGGAATCGTATTAAGCTTTACATAATGTATGAAAGAATGCATTAAGTGCAAGGACTGTCGTCATATTCGTATTGAATAAATTAAAAAAAATCCGTTACATTAAACATTTTAAGCTTTTCTATTAATTATAAAAATAATAAATATTTCCAGGTAGTAGCTGCAGGTAGAAACGAGGCACCAGTGATACCAGATAGTGCGGGTGGATTTCGAAGGCTACTGGATCCCTATGTGTCTACATACCGGGCCTACCATAAGCCTTTTTCAGTGGAAGACCAGTACGGTATCGGAGCTAAGGATCAGATAACTTTCTACTCAGAATTCAATGTGCCTAAAGTGAGTTAAAAACTCAAGATTCAGTTCGAGGTTAATCCCTTGATTATGTTTTTATTACTAGAGTTCATATGTTTGAAACATAAAGTGTAACAAAGCCCAGAGCGATACCTATGCGAAATACGATGGTGAATAGAAATATTAATTTAGTGTTTATTTATATTTGTAACCATGTCCTATCATGGTTGAACAAGGTTACTCGGTTTGGGGTGAGATGGCGCTGTATGATAGTTGCGAAAACCAATTTTAGCATAAAATTTCGTTTGCTAATTACTGTAATGAAACCGTAATAATAATTCTGAATTATTATCTATATTGATCATAGAGTAATTGTACTATTCGTAAAAAAATAACCTTAGAGTATAAAATTTCATTTGCTAATCAACTGTAAACGTTAATTTTATATATAAATAGAAACTTACATTTAAAGTGGTTAAGGTTTCGTGGTTAATCTGGTGGATAGCTTATATAGTTGTATACAGGTGCGAGGTTTCGGTCCCCGGCACAAAGAAATATGGATGCCATTGACTGCTAAAGTGCATAGAAACGTGTATGATAGGATACACGTGAAAAAAGAATGTAAGGAAGTGGCCTCATGCCACAATCCCGTCAACAATATTAAGGGGTGAGTGTATCAAATGCTATAAATTAATCTTCCTAGTCTCTTAACCAATTTTATAGAAGTATACGAATCGCAGATGGCCTGTGTATTTATAACAAATGCATTGTTCAGAATTATACTATTTGTTCTATCTTGAACTAGGTACTTCAATATTAACTTACATTATTTATTTATTTTGGGTAGTTATACTGATTTGTTACTTTTTAGAGTATTTGAATCGGAAACAAAGAAGAAATTCAAAGTTCCATTTGCAATATCGTCCCTCGCGTCATGGGGGCACGGAGAGTCCTTTGACCTGGCACCCTTCCCCCCTAACCCATACCAGACCAACCTGCCCCCTTTTATGTACTGCAGTGATTATTGTCACATAGCACAAGGCACCCCACCATATACAGTAGTGGACCAACTGAAACACCCACTGAAACCACACAAGCCGTGCGCCAAGAGATTTATCGTTTCGAGAGATTTTGAACCTTGACTTTTACGTATTATAAATAAAATAATAAAACTTACGTGTTGAATATATTTACCACGACCGAGGAAAGGAATAGAAGATTTTAAGTAAAATTATAATAAAAGTGTACCTATCTACTTTAAAAATAGAGTAGGGAAAAGTGTTTATAAGTCTATGGCTCGGTATGTTATAACGTATCGTTTCATGCTTTGTTTTTAAAAAATATAGATACTATTTGCAACTAAGAATCAACACGAAAGGTAGGTTTCTGGCAATAGGCGAAAGGGGTAATAGGTGATGAACACAAAAACTATATTCCTTGCCAAAATTCGAGTGAGTCGAATGGTAGGGGAGCCCACGATGCTAAATGGGGATTTACTCGAGCTCTAAACCTATTATACAAATTGATAAAAAGAAGAAAAAATGTTATATGATAAATTCCTTTTCATCGGTGGGGAAGCGGCTATAGATAGTTAAATATGTAAAAAAATGTTCATGGACATCCTCGAGCGCGTCAATATTATACATCTATGCCCTACGTATTTTTAATAATGTACTATTTAATCTGATCGTTTGCATGATGCGGGTGGTTGTATTTAAGGGTTGAAAATTTAAAAAAAAAAAAATTATCGAGCGCGTCAATTTTCTAAGGAGTGTTAAGTCACCAAAAAAATCTCTCTTCACTAATCTGACATTTCGATGGACCAAACCCAACCATTTTCTTAATTTGCAAAAAAATCCAATTTTGAAATACTCAACGTCAGATTAAGATATATGTGGTTCATCTTTATGTTCTAAACGTACTGTCTCATAATCTGACGATTATCTAGAGGGATTCGCCTGATCTACAAAAAAAATAGAAAAACGGTTCACCTAAAGGGCCATCCCTCAATTCCCCTAATTCCATTCCTGGGCGCTTAAAATTGATATTTTGAGCTCGCTGAGTTCAAAGAAATAACATTTCTATGCATTTGAGCTCTCCCAGCTCGAAAGTCTATAAAGTTTCTAGAACACTATTTTTGGAATTTTCAAACCCAATAACTTTTGAATGGATCAAGCAATTTTCACCGGTTGGCGGCATTCGACGCAGTTTTATCATTCTCATAAGTAATTTTGCAATTTTAATTGATCGAACCACAAATTTCGAGTAATCCCGAAAAACACTTTTTCGGGTTTATTTCATGTACGATATCTCTCGAACAATCAACCGCTTTTGACCAGCTTGGTGGCGATCGACGTGGTTTTTCAAGCTCAAAGCGGATTAGTTTTTGAAGTTGATCGATAAAGAAACCACTTAAAAAAAAATATTTCTTATTTTTTAAGATTTTTCAAAATTTCTCAAAATCTATCGGTCAATCGGTTCAAATTCACAGGAAATGTAATTTTGAGGGAAATATTTTGAACGCCGTTTAGTAGATTCCGATCGGTTTAAGGAAATGTAGGCATCACGCAGCTGCACGCATTTAACTTTATCGACGAATTTTTGTTATTTCGGCTTGCGGAAATCGTCAGATTATATATTTTTCATTATTCTGGAATTATTTCCTTCAAAATAAAAGAAAAATTAGCTACGCTCGAGAATGTCGAGATGACGTTTTTTTTTTACAACTTTGTTGCCCTCCCCTTTTTTTCCGTCACTCTCAAATTGTCAGATTAGTGGAATATACACTTTTTAGGATGTAATTAACTCACCCTACCTTAATCTGACGCGCTCGGGAATTTCTGATGGTCAATTTTTTTTTACTAATCTGATCCTGTCTCCTTCACGCGCGGCCTTATATATGGGCCTCATATTTTGTGGAGGTACTTAACCGGGTACAAGGTATCCCCCTATATAGTAATCTGCCGCGCTTTAGTAAATCCCGAAATCCCCTCTTGGGCTCCCCTACCAGAATGAATCCATAACGTTTTTGTCAAGTTTTCAAAAATTTATTGCGTAAAATAAAACAAATAGTTGAAGTTAAACGTTTATTTATGAAGAGGTATTACTTTTTTGGCATCATCTGAAAAATTTTAACTTTTATCAACACGGACAAAAGTTTTTCTTTTACATTATTTTATGGCAAGCTTCCCTTACCTACCAACATTATCGGAAATCCACCTCTTTCTTCGCCAAGTGACCCTTAGAGACAGTGTGTACTAAAAGTGTTTCAGAAAATATTCCTATTTAAAAGTAATCATGTGATACACTGCTCAACGCTGATCGTAAGTCTATCTCGTATATATTTTGATGTCTTATGTTCATCTGACCATCCTTTTAATCAACCCTATTTCTAAATCGACTGCCAGGAATACTACGCACATGGCTCTTCTAATGATTGAGTACTTTTCGAAATCTGTAATCAAGGTTAATATGGGCATTTTAGAACAAAAAATTACAAAAATGAGCCTAAATGATCTCAGACTTTCATGACAAAATTCGCGATTCTTTGAATACAAGAACAAATTTTAAAGCTGGGTGCAACGGACGGCCATCGCATATAAGTGATCTCTTCCAGGCAACAAAAGAGAGCTCCGTAACAAAAACAAGAAAATAACTTGTTATTTATGGTCAAATAGCATGAATAACCATATTTCAAATTTCCTTTATAATCCACTCTGATGATAGAGTCTGGGAATAACGTGGTACCAATTCTCATTATTTAATATCGGTATTGAAGTAACTTACTTCAATGGATAAGATAGGATTGATTTTTCAAATTAAACAAAAATACCTTTGGTTTTCTAACAAAGCAATGCTTGCAACCAGGCGAGTAGCATTCGCATATAATTTTAGTTTTTTTCTGAAATTTCAGTTTTATCATTATAAGTTTTAGTAGATAATCACATATTATTAAGTTCATGACAGTACCTTTTTCTTAGTGTTGCTTTCTTGAGTATTTTCGGATGGATCCTTCTAAATAAAGTAATATATTATTTATTAAATGTATATATAGTAGTAGTTGTAGATATATATTAATATAGTACTTACATAAACGCAGGTGCAAGCTGAATTGTTGCTAATACAGTGTGGTTTGACCATATTTACTTTTCGGTGTTTCCAAATCTGCTTTCAATAGCTTGTTTCAAAATGGGAATATTCTAAAAAAAACGATTAGTTAGACAAAATCACTTATTTAATTTATTTATTTATTCCCACATCATTATTCTATCTTTACAGTTATTACTAATTCGATAGAACGACACATTAATTATACCCACACCGATTAACCTACATAATAAACATTATACCTAAATCTTATAATTAATAATATAGGAAGAGACTCTTGTGAGTTCACAAGAGTTGCTTGTTACCAGTGTACAAATAAATAGGTCTACCTCAACAGAAATTCTATTTATTATACGTATTATACGTATATGTATTGCTTGCTTGAGTGGCGCTTCGCTAACCAAGTTAGAATGTGCGCGCGGTACATCCAAAAGTTGATTTATATATTAAGAAAGTATACATTACCCCAGGACAAGTCATATTTTCACATTTTTTGTTCTCGTTATCAGTGCATTTTGCAATCTGAAAAATTCGTCAAAGATGACATAGCAGCATTTTTAGACTAGATTGGAGCAGATTTTACGCATTGTTAAATTTAAGTTTTCATCTACGTAACTAATAATAACTAATTGGATTAAATCGCGTTAATTAATGACATTTTACAATCATAGAACTTGTCGCCCCGCTAACAGCAGAGTTTAATTTCAAGTGAATTTTATTTCAAACACAAATATTATCTATTACTTAAATACTACTATGTACTATAATTTTTTTTTTAAATTCATGGCAATGCAACTTGCGATTAAAGTATGTCTTAGCAAACCTTAGGGCAAATTTCTTCGGGCGCCTTAGGAGCTTGTCTCTTCCTGGGCGGTCTACATGGTGGAGTATGAAAACATCGTGCGGGGTCGTTGCATGGGGCTCCAGCTCTAGCGGGCCAGTAGCAGGGCATTAAGTACGGAAAACAGGATGAGGGTGGTACGCAGTGGGGCAAATGGTGACATGACCGGGCGGCCATGGGCTGAAAAAGTATATTGGCTAAAAAAAAATTAAAAGGACAATAGATGTACATATATAATCAAACTTCTGGATGGCGCAGTTATTCTATATACAGTGTAAACTCTTTATAACGAATTTCAAGGGACCGAGCATTTTTATTTGTTATAGAGAGGATTCGTTATAGGGTTAGAAGAATTAATGTATGGTTATTGGGTTAAACGAAATAAATTTAACTCATTTTTACGTTATAACGAATGACGTTTTAAAGACTTTTCACTGTATTAATAATCGCATTGGGAAGTAGTAATAGCTTGTAACATATTTTCTGCAACATATATTTGGGGGCTGAGGTAAACGACAGAAGAAGTAATCCGGGTGTTAGATTGTAATTGGACGTAATATCGTGATAATCCAGTCAAAATAGACAAAAATAAGTCATAACTTAGCCAAAATTCGCATAGAGCTGAAAATTGGCAGAGACGTTAAATACATCATTATAAATGAAATGTCAATGTCAATCCCCTTCGATCCTACTTCTGCAAAAAATTTTATTCAAGGTCAAAAGTATAAAATTAAGGTTTTTTCCATTTTTCTCGAAAACAGTATTATCGTGAAAATAGATCAGACAAAAGTTGTAATCATACAATTCTCTACAAATTTCAGTGACTTTTTCTCTAACACTCACCATTCATGAGATATGCGGTTTTAATCATTAGAAAATTCATATTTTACAAATTCCTAAAATCAGTCTTATACGTCACCTAAGTACCACAATAACTGTTATAATATCTTTTGAGACCTACCACGGATTAAAGTCGGTCGTCCGAAGTATTCAGTAAACTTGGCGATGGGGAAATATTTCAGTACATTGAAAATAATGATATTGCCAATTTTCATACAAAATTGAAAGATATCGGCAAAAATCCAACTATAGATAATAAAACAACTAAAAGAAGATTAAAGTTAAAGTATGGTGAAAAATTATTAAACTGAGAAGAAAGGAACTTAACAATTATCTGTTTTATTGATAATCATA